TACAAATACAAAGAAAATCCTCGTGTTTTAGTGCTACAAAAAGGTTAGACCTAATGGGATTATGGAAGAAATTAAGAAAGAAATGGATATAATGAAGTTGATTGGGGGCGTGGTTTAGTGTTCCCTCCACTCCAAACATCAAGGCATGAACCCTATTTTATTTTTATTTTATCAAACCCTTCTGCATGAGCCTTCTATATTAATATATTGGGTTTCTTCTCCCCCATGGTGCCTCTGCAACGGGATCTTCTTATCTGTCACCTAAGATTTTATTTCAGGTGACTAAATCATGCCAACCTTCATTTCTTTGGTATTTTATTACTGCTTAAAGCCTGAATCTAATTTGTCATCACCCTCTCTCATTAAACTCCACTCATTACCCCCTGTCATCTTCATTTCTTTATTCCTAGTACTTATTTTTTGTTATAGAAGGTTGGGTATATAATATACCGTGAAGAAGTATAGATTATTTACCTGTCTCAAAATAAATAAAAAAATTATTTGTTGAGTCTTATATAAAGCAAGAGAAAATATTGTTCTTTTCCAAAAAATAATCAAAAGAAAAAAAAATAAAAAGAGGAAGCGTTACCGTTAAATAGTAATTCCGAATGCAATGTACGTACTATTACATTTTGCATTGCCAAAGTTAACGGTTTTTGATTCATGAAGTATAAAATGCAAAATATTTTTAAAACTTATTAGTTTTGGTAAAAAGAATCTCAGTAAACAAAATTGAATTTGGTTCAGTTTCACCATTTGTCCGAATTGGATCCTTCGTATGAACACCAAGTCAATATGAGAAGGATAGAAATCGTGAGCTCGACATTATTAGGTCTATTAGTACGAAAAATCAATCTACTTATAATGTGCCTAGGGTTTTAGCTCTCACGACCTCCCCCTCTTCTTACTTAATGGATGATGAATTGTTTACACTAACTAATTCTACAATTTTAAAATCAATTAAAATTTAGCCATACATCAGCATCGATCTCATAGTCAGAAATTCCAAACTACTTCTATAAATATACACATAAAAATGTATAAATAGTTCTTGAGCATCAATTGTCCCAAGTGTACACATGTGCAAGGACGAACATATGCATTGATTTATGTTCAGCCTCATATGATTAGTTGTAGATCATTTAGTCAAATTTGATGATATTTGACTATCATTTTCACAAAGCAACTACCCAATTGTCATAATTGGTCCCTATAGATAAAACTAGAATTCAATCAATTGGAATCTATTCCTCTGGTTTGAGTATATAGTTAATCAGTTTCAAACCACCCCAAGAAAAAACTATTTTTCTTAAATTTTTAAAATCGATCGATCTTGATATATATATATATATATATATATATATTAAAAAGATAATTTTGGTGGGTTAATTAATATTAACATATAAGTATGTATGAGCTGGTTGATATTGATGCAACTACCGTCAAAGGAAAGAACAGTTAGTCTTGAGAGAGTGAAGTAGGGTAACCTTAACCACTAACCATTAAACTCTCAATGAATTGGTAAAACGAAGAATTGATGAAAAGTTAGATTAGAAATCTACGCATGACTTAAAAAACACCTTTAATTTGCTTCCACATAATAATGCATTTCCTTATCATAGAACTGTTAAAAAGTTGAAAAAAGAGGTGTAAGAGGGAGAGAAAAGATAAAGGGGAAAAGTAAGTTAACCATAATTGCGATCAAATATACTGGAAAATACATGCATATTATAGTATCATGACAATTGGAATAAAGGTTTTTTTAGTAGGGAGGAGGAAGGAGGCAATGGTGTCTGTCTCTCCCCCTCTCTTTCTTTCTCTTTCCCTGGTTTTAGGGCAACCATTGACGGCTTTTGTTGATGGCTAAAACACGGCCGTAAATCACATCAATGAAAAGTATTATTGTACTAGTCCCTTTTTTGAATGTAGGCCATTCTAATCGGTGAACTATATTTATAGAGTAATGACAGAGACAACGAATTTACGTAATTATATAACATAATAATTAAAATGATAATGATATATAAATGTAATATAAATTTTTTTTCCTCCCATATATAGATGGTTAGTTTTATCATATTTTTAATGTGACCGACTGATCAGATAATGAATCATTTTACTGAATAAATTTACTGAATTTTTACCATCATCGATCTTTCTCATATGTAAGCCCCTTTTTGATCAGGTTTAACCCCACCCTAAAGTAGGTTATTGATGGAAGGATATGGTAACTGGATGATGGAGGATCTAAAGTGTCAGGTGGGGTGAATTGGGGGGGAGGAGAAGGTGGTGGTGATGAAATTTTTTTAGATATCATATGGCATAGCTGGTTTCTGGGGGCCACTTTTTGTTTGTGTTTTACATGATTCCCTTAGTTTGAATGGTCAAGCTCCAAATCATTGGTATTTATAAAATGTTTAGCATCGGATACCATAGTTCTTCTACTAGGCATTACTACTACCAATCTACCATATATGTTCATCGCCTTTTGCTTTCTCTTCGATTCGATTCATTTCTTGCAGATAAATTAATCCATGTTAATTTCTGTCCATACTAGCTAGTTGATTTCACAAAGAATTTACGAGGCAGCAACGTTAATTTCTGCACGAATTCATTGATAAAAGAAAAAGGAAAAAAAAAAGGAAAGAGAAGGCAATGGAAAGGGAATGCAATAATACTGTGAATATGCTTGAACATAACATGCATATATTTGGACATCCAGCAAAATTTAAATATTAGTTTAATAGGAATTTAAATAAAGTATTTCGTTTTTTCTGAAAATAAAAAAATATTCTCATCAATAGAGAAAAGGGTCATTAATAAGGATATGTTCATTCAAATGTTTTACACTTTGCGCAAAATAAAAGTCATGTTCGATAAAACAAATCTTTATGAAATAAGTAATTTAAGTTTCATCTCAATTCTCAATCCCGAAATGACAATAGTTACATTTGCATAGTTGCTTTTCTTGTTTAGTTGGTATGAGACCGCAAAAAAAAAGAAGAAAAAAAGTTGCAATCGAAACTAAATCTCCAAAGCAATCTCTAATCAATTGAATATTTGGGAGTGGGGAAGGGAACTGCATTTTGCAAAATTGATACGATCTTATATCATAATGATCAGGTGAGATTTCTAATCAACGTTTGGCTTGAAAGAATTTGGTCATAAGTGTTTGGTGTAAACCTAATGCTCAATAATGATAAAATTCGTATTTAGAACATAATTCTAACAAAAACAATAAGAACAAAATTTAAAAGACTTCAAGAATAGTAGTTTGTATTTATTTATTTTTTTCTATAATAATTTGGAGTAGCTGAAGAGTTAGTAATCAGAATCCTGTCAATTGCTTCGGTTCCATTAATTTCCTCAAAGAAAAAGTCTATTTGTTCATATTGCTTCTCTTAATTTTTTTTATTTTTTTTTTTTGACATAACATAGGAAGGAAATCTGAGCATAAAAACCAATGGTGCCACACCATTTTGTCTTTTTCTTGTAGTCAGCAAATTAATATAACGACAAACTACCTAATATAGTCGAAGCAGCCATTGTGTTAATTTTCTTAATGCACCTAAATAGTAGTCGTAGTAGTACTAGGACGATATGTAGATTAGCATATGTAACGCTTTGGGAATTTAGTCAAACGATTCCAGAAGCAGGGGGGGATAACGTACTAATAACATGTATTCCATGCAGTTGTTACATACATCCAAATAGAAGTTAACCAGACAAATCGGTACTCATCCCGTAAGAAAATAGTATAATTAATAAAACAATTATTTTGAAACGGAAATGTCACTGAGATTTTTCACGTTATGTACTCTTATTATAAGGCCTTCAAATTGCATGCAGCTGAACTGTGAGCTCAAACATTTACTTGTGAGAAAAGTAATCAAAGGGATCATTGTTGAATTCGTGCAATTCCATCGTATTGATTTGCAGACGCAGTTTTAGTGCATTTGTTTTCCCAAATAAGATCCTCTATAGCATCGTGGATGCTTTCTACCAAAATGACAAAATGGTATTTTCATTTCAACACTAATTTTTTCCCACCACAAAAATAAGGTTGCATGCAAAAATAAAAAATAAAAATAAACAAATAACGATAAAAAATTTTGTCATTTTTGATTTACTATATATTAATTTCATTTCAACACATTAATGTATTTCATTACGAAACAAGATATGGATTGATCTAATTTTCTTTGGCAACATAAAATTTGCAAATTAACTTGAGGGCAAATTCGATCTTTCCAAAGTTATTGAGACCGTGTGGAAGATTCCCAGAGAATCGTATTACATAAGAAAGAAACGATGATCGTCAATTAATCCTCTTTTTAATACTAGAAAACAATTAAGGGGAAAAAAAAAAAAAATAAACTTAACCAAACCACACCTAAACCCTAAGGCCGGGTCAACCAACCCAAAACCGAAAACCCTCCAAATTGGTCATTCATTGGCATTTATATTCATATCTGTGGGGAAATCATAATTCATGATACACAACCACCCTTTGGGGCCACCCACGCCACAGTCTTCCCCACGAACCTTCATTATTATGAATAATCTCCATTTACATCAATTCTTTTCTCTTTTTTTCTTTTCCTTTTTTGAAATAAGAAATAAGTATTCATCAATTTTGTTGGAAAATCCTCCCGTAATAATTGAGAAAAAAAATGTAGTAATAAAAAAGCAAGACCTCCATTCTATTTCAACAAGGTAAACTATTGAAACGTAACAGTAGATTAATACACATATTCATTTTAACATACTATATCATTTTTAAAAAATCCTTTTCGAAATTCCCCACACAACTACTGTACAATGCAAAACAAATGAAATGATTTTTTGTAATGATATTTGATCATAAAAACAAAAAAAAAAAAAAAAGGTTGGAATTTGGAAATTCCAATTTCCGGGGGTGCATTAATTAAATGAATAATTGTTGTCGACAAAATCCAAGCGTGCGGTTCACACGTATGAAAGAAGCCAAGAAGTCCCCAATTAAACACGCACCAAAAGTGATCATCCTTACTCCCGTCTTCAATTATTTTGTCTATATAGTCCGCTTCCTCCGTGCACTCCTCACCATTTGACTGTGTATCTCTCTCTCTCTCTCTCTATCTCACACACTCACGCACTAGCATCACTCCTTTGTTTCCTCTTTCAGCTCACCACTGCCTTTTTTTATTGGGTATTCATCACTTCCTTTGTTCAATCTTTTGGTGGTTCTTGTTTCTCCTGCTCTTCAAGGATAAGCATTTTGGATCTTTGTCTTCTGATTTGTATCACTGTAAGTACTTCTGAATTCTGTGATTGTTGGTTTGTGTTTCCGACCATTAATGTTTTCTGGGTTTTTTTTTCTTCTTGTGCCTGAATTGATTTGTGGGATGTGAATTTGAGCTTTGATTCTTTGTGGGATTTATGGATTTTTTGATGGGTCTGTAAATTTTTAGTACAGGATTGTGAAAGTTTCTTAATTTGCTTAGTAGATTTTAAGTCAGATTAGGACAATCAACTTTCGGTGGTAGTGGGTCTTTTAATGTTTGTAGTTATTGTTTCTGTAAAAGAAAGGTGAGGAAGTAAAGTGCTCATTTAACATTTCAAGATTGTATCTTTCGATAATTGAATGCTGAAACCACAATTATAGAAGCCTGTTGTTGTCCTTTCTTTCAGTGGATTTGCTTTTTTGCAATATTTGCTCAATTATAGATGACAACTCCATGAATTTGTGTGCTGCTGAATTGAATAGCCTTCACTCTCGCTGTCTATTGATCCGTATTTCATTCGTCTTAATTGTTGAACAGGACTATTGAATTGAGTTAGAATATAGAAGAGTTTTTGAAAACAACCGTGGCGATCGAGTTTTGTGAAGGACAGTATGCGGTGGTATAGTTTATCTGTTGACGTATTTCGGAAAGTCATCTCCTTGAACTTGTACTGCCGTGTGATTCTGTAAACTAGCCCAATCCATTTTAGCAACCATACCATAAATCTTTTTCTTCTTTTACCTCCAAATATTACAAGATCTACCTTTAAGCTATTTTCCATGGGATCCACTCGCTTTGTTGTCATTCCCTGCTACGTCCGCAGGATTAGCTGAATCTTCCTTCAATTCTAGCTTCTTCCATAGTATCATCAACATTGTGCCATAGTAGAGTTTAATTAGCCCCATCATTTTTACGAAACTTCCTTATATTGTCTTAAGATCTATCCTCTGCTGTTCGTATCAGTTTCTAGTAGTTTGTTGTCAGTTGTGAGGTTTCTGCTACTTAGGTTGTCCCTGTCATTTTCTGTTGGAATAGTTCCAAAGTTTTCATTGGAAGGCCACAAGAAATCGTTACCTGTTGTGCTGCGTTGTCTGATCGTTTTCTGCTGGAAGATTAAGGTGTTATTTGGGAAAAAAGGGTCGGGAAGAAGTAGTTATGGTGTGCCAAGCAGCAAGTCAAACAAGATTCCGGGCATTGAAGCACGAAAATGGAGTTGCTGGGAGCGCCACCATAATAGTTAGAGTAATAGCATGCTTTCAACCACTTCAGGATTGCCAGGTTTGTAACCAATTTCTTAATTTTCTATCTGGAATCTTTACATTCAGATTTTATCAGTGTTTAATTCACCATGGTCTAATCCTTTGTTGGAATTTATTGCAGGCTGAATACTTCCGCCATTTGCTCAAGCCTGTGACGTAGATATATTTCCTAGCTCAGCGTTCAAATTAAGCAGAATCTCCTTTTATTTTCCTTTTTTCAGTTTTTTTCATCATTCATCAAAGACTCAACAGAAGCCATCTGATATCTTAGTATTACAGTTCTAGAAACTGGTGAGTTTTTGTAGGTTTCATTATTTACTCTTTTTTTTTCTTCATTTGTTTGGGTTGTATATATATTTATTTTTAGATTTATTCTAAATGTTTGCTTCGGCTTTTGTTATGTTACGTACAGGTGATTTTTGTGGTTGAATGGAGAAGGACATCAGTTCCTGGTTCCATGTCCAGCAATTGGAACGGCAGTTGCCTAACCTGAATTGCCTGGGTGCTCCACTTGAAGTAGGGCAGGGGAATCCTCTTCCTTCTTATATGAATCCCTACTTGAATGAGCTCTCTATCAATGGGACTCCTCCGAAATTCACATTTTCTGGTCTGCCTCACCTGAAGGCATGTGAACCAACCCAACCATGTAATTGGTTTAACAGTCTGCCCCATTATCCGCAAGCTTTTACTCATGGAGTGAACTCCTTATATAAGGAAAAGCTTTCTTCTGAGCCTATTGAGAAGTGTGGTAGAACTGGACTTTCTAATCCCGGGACACAGAAAAAGTTCCTTGTGTTTGATCAGTCTGGAGATCAAACAACCTTAATTTACAGTTCTGGACTAGGGGCTCCTGTGCAATGCCTGACTTCTTGGAATGCAAAACCCCCTGCTGCAAATGATCCAGTTAAGGAAGATGTTGGAACTAAAAGATTCATGTTTCCTCATTCTGCACCTTTTGGAACAAATGGATATAACGAGGATAACCAAGGAGATGAAACCGAGAGCCAGATGCGTGAAGATACTGAAGAACTTAATGCATTACTCTACTCTGATGATGAGAGCGAAAGTTCAGAGGATGATGAGGTGACAAGTACAGGTCATTCTCCAAGTACTATGACTGAACATGGTGTTCAGGATGGGTATGGAGATAGTGAAGAGGTTGCCAGTTCTGCAAGTCCAATTAAGAAGCGAAAACTTTTGAATGGAGATTTTGATGTAAGGTCTCCTACAAATGTTCCAAGCTCTGAGAAACCATATAAATACTCTGAGTTGGAGGATGATGCAGAGTCAAGTTGTGGCAATTTTGATGATCAAGGTTCTGAAGAATCAGATTCTTTGTCTGGCAAGAAAAGATCAAGAAAAGAGAAAATCCGTGAGACTGTTAGCATTCTTCGGAGCATAATCCCGGGCGGGAAGGGAAAGGATGCAATGGTGGTTTTTGATGAAGCCATCCATTACTTGAAGTCGTTGAAGGTCAAAGCCAAGTCCCTGGGACTTGATGCCCTCTAAAAATACCTTGCTCAAAGGCAGTTGGTGCGGGGTACTATTAATTATGTCGTGATGGCCTCTTTTAGCTTTGTTTTATGCTGTATTATTATTCTTAGCGGTTTCTATTAAAGGTGTTATTGGAGAAGAATATCAAGAATAAGGGAACATCATAGATCAATCCAGTTTTATCAAAGTGGGGTTTTTGATGGGAGGTAAAGATTAGATATCCTGATATTTTGGTACAAGTGCAAGATTTGAAGTCACAAAAAGGGGGATGCATGCTGCTGCTGTAGCTGCTGCTGCTCTGCTTGAACAACCACCACTCTTGGAAGAAGTCATATTTCAATGATTGAGTTCAGGAAACCAGTAGGTTTGGTTTCTTTCAAATCCATGTATTTATGTCTCTCTCGTGCCAATGGAGAAAGAGAAAGATGAGAAGGCATCATCAAAGCTGGCTTGGATATATCATGCTTCTATAAAAGGGTTTGGAGAGAAAAATCATGAAAGTTGGTATCTTGACACATAAGAGTGAAAAGTAGACATGCCTCCATTGCCAAAATGGCTCTCTTTTGTTTTCTCCCCTTGCGCATGAAGAATCAAGCCTGGTGTGAAGTAGTAGACTTATAATAGTTATAACACCATTTTCTTTCTTCTTCTTTGGGAGTAGGGCCCCAAGAAAGTGAGATTGCACGCCTGGTGGGTGAACTTGGGTCCCAACCTTCACTTTCTTGGCCTTTTTTGTGACCTTGTCACCATCAATATTTGTTGTGGGTTTTTTTTCTTTCTGCATCTTATCTGGTGAAGGCAACTGTTTGTGGTGGTGTGCTTTCTGGCTTCTGCCATTGCCATAGTAGCTTTCTTTGTTTCTTCTTGGCTGGCTTTCAATCAAGTGTTTTGTTTGAAGAAGAAGCAGCTAGCTGTTTGAACATATCAATGGAGGACCACTTTCTTCTCCTTCCTCCCTCCCTTCACATGAAGAAGATCTTGTAAAAGCCTCTGATTATTCACATGTCAGTTCAGGGAAAAACAAAAAAAACTCTGCAGCTCCCTTTTCTAGTACTGGTTTGTTCTGTTATGCCTGTAATTTTTAAGTATTTTACCTTTGATGAATATTGTATAATTATTATTCCTCAGTGTTTTGACTTTTTTGTAATGCTATCATATACTATATGTATTGTTGTATAAAACGTTCTGAGGCTATCATATCATCTACTATCACGTTTGGTTTTCTAAGTGTGTCGTGTAATACCATCTTTAATTGTTGTGCTTATGCTGCTGTACTTACGTTGCATGTACGTATTATTATTATTATTATTATTATTATTATTATTATTATTATTATTTTTATTATTATTATTCGTCGAATTAAAACAGTAACATAAATGAAAGTTAAAAGGGTATCACGAGTTTCTATTTTTTGCTTTGTTATATTTTTATTAAGGAAAGTGATGTCCATATCAAATTGTTTAAAAATTCGATTCCTTTCTTCTATCTTTTACATGTACATATTTTTGTTTCATTTTCTTTAATCTTTAGAAAAGAAAAGAACTTTTTTAGGGTGATTTGGAATTGTACGAAAAAATAAAATAAAACAAAAGAAAAAAAAAAGAAATTGAAATGGATGGGCATATGAAGAGGGACCACGTGTTGGCATTATTTAGGGGAAGAAGGAGGTGTTCATCTGCATGCGTGGTGTGCCCCAATTTTGATTTTTCTTTGGTTTTTTGTTGTAGCAGTTGCGGATGTAAACAACAACCTGAGAAAAAGTAATGCTTTTTTTTCTTATATACAAAAATACAAATAAAAAATTAGGTCTCTCCATGTATATTGCTTTTGTCTTTGCTTTCGCTAATTATTACGGTTTTCATTATCACTTACCTAAGAGGAGAGTTTATATTGTACAATAGTACTCACTCCCAAATGTTACATTATGTGATTCATTACTTTTTTTTTTGTCAAAATTAATGAATTACTCTCTCCATCGATACAGTATTATACTAAGAAAGAAATCAGAGAGAGAAATAAAAAAATATTTCTAAGGGTGCCACATATGATAAAATTCTATGTGTCATTTTTCTAATGGTTAACTCAAAAACTATTTATAATTATGCTAATAGTCCTTCAAATTTTCTATAAATAAAATTTTATCAAATTGCATTTAAAACATTAATTGAAAATAGAAAATGGAAATTAATCAAATTAAATGGACAGGAATAATGAGTTAATGTACCGGAATTATTTCCTTTCCAAAAGAATTCTCAAATTATGGAAAACTCAATCACAATTCCAACATTAATGAAAAAATTAATAATTATTCAAAAATCAAAATTGTGCACGGAATCAGGTAACAATCATATCCTATAATTAACTCCAAAATTAAAAGAATTCAATTGTAAAAGATAAAAAATAAAAGATATCAATTTTTATTCGATCAATAAATAATAAGCAACTATCTATCTATAGTATTATATTAAGAGAGAAATCAGAGAGAAAACAAAAAAAGATTTCTTAATGTGCCACCTAGGATAAACTCCTATGTGACATTTTTATAGAAAATGGCAAAAAAAAAAAGTTGATGCAATTACACTACAAGTCCTTGAGATTTTATAGAAATAAATTTCGTCACACTTAATTTTGTAGTAATGGACAGTTAAAATTGTTTAAAACCAATCAATCAATATTAATAAGCAATTAATGTCGTGAATTGAATGATTGGAAATTTGAAGAAACAATATGGAATGCCACCATTTCTAACAAAAAAAAAAAAGAACAAAATTCGTAGATTTGTTCTGAACCAATAAATTAACAATCTACATTAAATAGTAGTAAGAGATGTCGTGAATAGGATGAGAGAAAATTTAAAGAAATAATAGGGGATAATTTCCCACGATTTCTGAAAATAATTATTTCTCATCCAAAAAATGAACATAATCCATAAATTTATTTAAAACCAATCAATCAACATTAATTATTTCGAATATGATCTTGAGATCTGATCTCTTTAGTGTTCAAAACATATCATAGGTTTGAATTTTGAATAAAATTTTGATATGGAAAGTTTTTAATAAATTTATCTTTTTCCAAAATGTCACATTAATCCCTGGAAAACTGCACGTCGAAAGGAGTATATATGTATTTGAAGTGGCCATAAGAAAAGTTTATTCATGCATTACTGTTGTCGGATTTCTTACACTTTTTCAAATTTATGCATCTGCTAACAACTTTTTCTTTCAATATTTGTTAACAGGAGGCAATGCTTACTTGTCTACTATGGCGAAAACACGTAACACGAGGCAAAATTTTTAGCATTCAATCTTATGCTTTTGATTTTCATAAATTTAGAAGGTTGACAAAATTTTATTTTCTAGGGAAACAAATGAATGGCCAAATCATACGTTTAAAATCTATTTTTTTTGTTCTGTGCAATGAGCCTGATTTTTCACTGAAGATTTTTGATAGTGATGATTTTATGGGAGTGGCTAATTAACTAGGTAAATCGTGAAACAATGATTGTTTCCATAAATTAGGTAGTATTGATATATTATTGATCGTAAATTTCTATTTGTTATGAATTAAGGCAATAAATAGATGAAGAACTGATGGCCACGATAAATTCATGGCGGATTATGACAATATGTTGGGAAAAAATATAAACGATAAATTATATACATACGTACATATATGTTTATACATATTCTTATAAATTTTTGGACGTGGATTTCTCTAGCAGGGTAGTTAAATCTACTATTGGAACAAAAACTTTCTGTTCTTGAAAAATAGTGACGTGCAAGGTATGTGAGTTAATTTTATTAAAATTCATGGATTCGCACTTTGTAGACACTAGATGAGATTTATTGTGGGACTATAAATGGAGGGGTGAAGATTCTGGTTTATTTTCTTTTTTTTTTTATATTCGCATTTATTCACTATAAGATATGGTTTTAAAGCAGTTTTAATATAATTTAAAAAAAGAAAAGGAAAATTTGTGCCAACCACCAGAGGCACTGCTGGACAAAACAATTTTTGTTTGAATTCCAATAATCTAAAATTCTTGAATGATAATAATAAGAATTATAATTTTTTTTTAATGATAAGTCATTCTGGACAAAATCATGTCTCCATCTTATATTTGCATTAAGGGCTTTATTAATTTTTAGTGCAATATTTTTTTTTAACGAGATGATGATCTGATTCATACTGTATTTACTTATACAAAATTTATTATTGCAATTCAACAATTTTATTTATATTGAAAACATTTAAGATTTGACATATTTTTTTAAATGCATATGAATAAATCCCGCACATCGTGCGGGTTTAACAACTAGTTCTAGAATAAAACATAAAAAGAATGATATGAGCCTACCATAAATGATCGACTTCAATGAGCGGCAATGGCAATGAGATAATTTTAAGGAGTTATTAATAAATAGAGTGAACCTCAAAACAAGTCATCAATCTTTAATATATTTCTACTCTAGGTCATTAATTAAATTTATTTGTAACACAGGTTACCTTACTAAAGTTTTAATCCATTTCAGATTATTCTGTTAATTTTGACCGTTAAATAGTGACGTAAATCTATTTTTCACATGTTTTTTGGTTCAGGGGTATTTTTGTCATTTTTTATTTTTTATTCTTTTAATTTTATTTTATTTTATTTTTTTTTTTACAATTCTTCTTCTTCTTATACTTCCTAACTTGTATATATTGGTAGTATAATTCTAAATTTTAAAAATTTATTTTCCTTTTGTATTTTAACTTCTAGATTATAAAATTTTTTAAAAAAATTTAAGAAATGAAGAAGAAAAATTCGAGTTAAAGTAAACATGAAAATTAATAATTTACCATTTTAAACAAAAAGAAAAGTTAAAATAATTAGTTAAGACAAGTTGTTTCTTCTAGGTTATTTAATTTTTTTCAACTCGATTGAATTATTTAAATATTAATTTTCATGTTTCTTATTTCTTTTTTTTTAATTTGTCATTTTTATTTTAACTTCTAGATTATTAAAAAAAAAAAGAATAAGAAACGTGAAAATTAATAATTAAATAATTCAATCGAGTTGAAAAAATTGAATAACCTAGAAGAAACAACTTGTCTTAACTAATTCGTTTAGTTTTTATTTTTGTTTAAAATGGTAAATTATTAATTTTCATGTTTACTTTAATTCGAATTTTTTTTCTTTATTTCTTAATTTTTTTTAAAAAAATTTTATAATCTAGAAATTAAAATTCAAAAAATAAATAAATTTTTAAAATATAGAATTATACTACCAATATATACAAGTTAGAAAGTATAAGAAGAAGAAGAATTGTAAAAAAAAAAAAGATTAAAAAATAAAAAAAATGACAAAAATGACAAAAATACCCCTGAACCCAAAAACATGTGAAAAATGGATTTCCGTCACTATTTAACGGCCAAAATTTACAGAATAATCTGAAATGGATTAAAACTTTAGTAAGGTAACCTGTGTTACAAATAAATTTAATTGATAACCTAAAGTGGAAATATATTAAAGGTTGATGACTTGTTTTGAGGTTCACTCTAATAAATAAATTTGTCATCAATGTCAATATGCTCGCAAAATAAGTCCTCTCAGACAAAATTGTTTTTAAAACTTGGAAGGGCAGGTGAGTACCATGGTAGGAGATGATTTTCAGGTTGGAGTCCGAGTCTAGGGCATATTTACAATCATCAATCGAAACAACTGGATGCCGAGATTAACAAATTAAGAGATGTTTTGAAGTTTGTTGATAGTTTTGGGATTGATGTGCAAATTCATTTTTAACGAAACTACGTTTTTCAACAAAGCATAAACGTGTGAAGCTCACCAAAGTAGTGGTTGACACTTGACAATGATGTCAATACATATAGGTTAGGTTTAAGGAAAATTGACTACGTGTTACCTACAAAAATTGATGTCTGAAAAAAAAAAAATTGGAAAAAGGAAAAAGGTTGTTATGTTATCCCAAACTCTCATCCACTTCGCTATCAAAATAGGATTTCGATCCAATGTCTTTCAAAAGGAATAAAAATGCGCATGGGAGCTTTGACGCTTCACTTCTGGTTTGGTCATTCTTATTCTTCCTCCAACAGTTGAGTTAATCTATAGTTGCAAATTCATTTTGCGAGGATCATGTTCTACTATTTTATTTTATCTTTTACCAAGAAAGAAAAAAAAAAGAGAAATAATCCAACCGAATTTTCTAAATTACTACTCCTTCCGTCACAAAATTATTGTAAAATTTACATTTTCAGTTTTAGCATAATTCGAACTAAAAATGAAATTATACTAAAACTGAAAATATAAATTGGTCAGTAATAGTTCAAATTGTACTAAAACTAAATATGGAAACTGGAAAATAATTTCGGAACGGAGGGAATAGTGTTAAATCATGTGATGCGCGACCTTGTCCTAAGTGATTATACTACATTCAGTTAGTGTTATGATTCCGAGAATAAAGAAATGTCATGAGATACAATTATTTGAAGATGATGAACTTGTTGTGCAACAATTATAGCTTTCCTACGAAGTTTTTTCATTACATAAACAATTTAATGTTGAATTCTTTTCTCTAGTGAGTATAATATACAAACAATTATTGTTTCTCTTATCCTGTTTTATCTGTGGTCTTGCTCAGGCATATTTTCCTCCTATCTCTCAACCAGAAGGCCTTCCTTTGAGGATTCAAGATATCAAGGGGAAAAGACAGTCAATAAACGTATTGCAGAAATGCAACCCTTTGAACATTATGGCCAAAGTAGTCAATAGGTTATTACTCCAGTTACATTCAGCGCAACTTTATGTTATCTCTTCCTTGTCAATTATGCAAGATGAATTCATACTGTCCACGCTAGAAGGATCAGTGTTCATGGTTTCTACAAATTTGAACAAGACACTTTCCATGTTAACCTGTAGAAGATCAAGAGCTAGGATCTTCTCCTAGTAATCACATTTTACAAATTCTTCTATGTTAGTTAGCTCTATTCTACCCTTGGATCTGCAGCCATTCCCAGAGCTGTCCATCAGGCCTCTTGTTATGAAGATCTAGGGACAAAAACAACCCCCATTTTTATTGCAGCTGCTCCATAAACATCCCAAGAGGAAGAGAGGTTTATCATCTCATCAATCAAGATGCCAAATGAAGAGTTGACTGGCATTCTATTACTATCATCGTCACCCGGGTTCTGCGTCATCAATTGTAACGCAAACACTGCCTCCTCAACTTTCCCCTGGCCACAAAGAGCCCTAACGACGCGCCGGAAAGTGATGGACTTGGGAGGCATCCCTCCTTTAATCATCTCAACTAAACATTCCAAAGCCATTTGTATTTCTCCACCAATGCAAAAGACCTCAATGACCATGTCATAGGATGGAAATGGATGCGAAGTTGTGGCCGCCCTCATTTGGCCTATCAGGCTGTGAATTTCCTTCAAGAAACGATCGTCTTTCCGGGCTCGCCTGCAGAGCCCTCTCAACAGGGCATTCATCAGTCTTTCATCAACCTGGAAACCAATCAAGATCATCTCTTTATACAAATCCAGGGCTGCCAACACTTCACCCCACTTCAACAGCCCGTGCAACAATGTATTATAGCTAACATAATCAGGAGGAGAATCTTCCTGCATTCTCTTCAACAGTTCAACACCATCCAGGGGCCTGCCTTCTTTAAAGAAACCGTTGAACAAAGTGTTGAAAGTGACTGCATTGGGTTTCAAACCGCTTTCCAGGGCTTCATCCAGCAATTCTAAAGCCTCATTCGATCTTCCAACTTTGCAGAAACCATTCATCAGTGCAGTGTAGGTGTAAATGTCTGGTTTGATCTTCACATTCTCCCTCTTTATGTTGGTAAACAAATCATAAGCCTCCTCTATTCTCCCAACATAGCACAAACCCTTGAGCAGGCAATTGTAAGTGTTGATAGTGGGCTCACACTTTATCCTATTCATTATCTCAAACACCTCAAAGGCCTTTTGCATCCTGCCATTCTTGCAGAAGGAGTTGATTAACGCAGTGCACGTGGCAACGTCGGGCTGGAGCCCCAATTCCATGACTGTAGAATCAAGCACACTCTTAGCTGAAAAGGGGTCGTTTTTATAACAAGAGTAAAAACTGATTAAGTTGCAGCTCAAGTTCAAAGCTAGCTGGAACTCATCCTCGGAAACCAATGCATTAAGCAGGCGATTGAAGGCATCGGCGGATTGAAATCCACCCCGGGATTCCAATTCTACAACGAAAGATTGGAATTTGGTTGAAGTTCCAGGTTGCCCACCAAGCGTTTGAATTAATTCCTCAACCACTAGTGGAGAAGTGGTAGTCGTTGCTTGAGCATGACAAAGGAGGGAACAAGGAAGATATTTGCGATGATGAGTAACCTGAATATTGAAGCCAAACGAATGTGATCTCGGCCCGGCGGGAAAAGGACGACGGAAGGTGAGAAAGATGGGTTTGGAGGCAGAGGCGGAGGAGGAGGTGGACGGGCCGGGAGACGGGCATGAAGACAACGGCTTGAAGTTGAAGATGATTCCCGCCATTGGAAGCAAACAGAGAGATTCAGGTTGAGGGAGCCGGAGACCGGATTTCCGGTTAGTTGGTCTCCGAGTAAGAGATAAGGAGGCCAGAGTAATTGACAATTACCATTTGGGCCTTCCCAAATATGCACAATGTTTTTGGTTTGGTACCTCATTTAGATTAACTTTGGGCTCTACGGTATCACCAATTTACCGATGCCTATAGATTGGGTTTCTTAATATATGAAACTTGGATGTTAATGAACTTATTATGCCTCATTTAGATACTTTGAGAGAGGGGATTAGTCTGTTGCCGTTTTCAAATTATTGTCTAGTTTAGATTTTCATTTTCAGTTTAATTTGTACTAAAATTAAAAATTCAAACTAGATAATAATTTCGGGACAAATAACGTATTATTTATGTATATAACATAATATTTCTTCCGCTTCACAAAAAGATTTCACATTGCACTTTAAAAAATGTACTGGAAACAGTACAAAATATAAAATGTGATCATAATTAGTTAAACTTTGAAAAGATTCAATATTGATGTTAATTGGACACTAACTCACTCTACTTAATTTCTTCAACTGCAGGAATAGCCTTCAATAATTTTATTTTTTTTTTTCCTTAAGCCCAAAAATCCGAAAAGATATGTGAAATGTTGGTGTCGAAGAAAATGGTGAAAGTACAAACTACAGGGAAACTACTACCATGTGGGCCAAAATCATGAGAGCTGAGGACACGACTGCATTTGCACACACACGAAGGCAATATGCAAAGGTTGTCAGATAATTGCAGCATATTTCTACTTTTGCCCCTGTGATTTTAATAAAGTCATTATGCACCCGAAATTTTATTTCATACTTTTTGTTTCTCAATATTAAAAGGATTGTACAATCACTTCCTTCCTTTTTTGAAAAAAAAAGAGTCTAATTTGGAATATTAGAATGAAAAACTGAAAATGAATTGACTTTTCAAATCTAAAAACAAATATGAAAAAATATTCAATAGATTATTATATATGTCAATAATAAATTTTAAATTAACTTTGAAATGATATAGAATCATATAATATAATACAGAAAAATACAATTTACTTTTAAATATTAGATAGAAAAAAATTAGTAATGTTAGATGAAAACATAAATACAAATTACAGCAACGATAATTTTTCTTTTGTATTAGTGTAGAATCATCAAAGAAACACAAACCACTAATTGTTTAATTATATGTAATCTTAGAAAGTTTTTGGCCGTGTGATGGTACATGACTAAAAATTTTGTATTCAAAGACTGGAAAAAGAAAAAGGGGTAAAATCAAACATATATCAAAGATCAAGGGGAAGTATACAATTAAATGAAAATAATAAAGGAGGAAAAACCGAGAAGCTGACGACGATTGCTGAAATAATGAAAGACGAGACGGTATATTTTCGTTTTTTGTGCTTTTTACGCCAAACCGAACCGACTCACTTCTTCTTCACCAGCTGTTTTGATTCTCTCATTACTGTGAAAGTTCATCCCCAGCAACTCATAATCATCACAATTGATGGTCAATTAAGATAGGGTTTTGTGTTGATTCCTCTGATCCTGCTTAGTTTTTCTTCTTCACTGAAAAATCCTACGTTGTCAGAACTTTTGATTTCTGGAAGGTTCGGTTCGGGGTAAAAAATGGAGTCGCTGTGCTTTCACGACGGGAACATTTCTAACTTGATCAATAGTCGGACTCTCGGATTCAATCATGTACGTCAATGCTGAATTTTTATTGTTTTATTGTTAATATGAATTTAAGTCTTTTGATCAATCACAATAATCAAGGTCCTTCATTGTGGGAAAATTTTATTCATCGTCATTCTGTTTAAATTCATCCTTTTTGTTCATTGTTAATGAGCCGAATTACCTCTTAGTTTCATGATTCGTTGCATTAATTTTGGAGCTATTTTTTCAGTTAATGTGGGCTATGTTAGTGTAGTATTTTGGTTCACTAGAGCAACTTACTCAATTTTTGAGCTCACTTGGATATTGGGAATTTGGGGTTATATGATATATGGTACTTATAGCTTATGGAACAAAGTGGCAAAATGCTCATTGTAATTCTTATTTATTTAATTTTTTGAATGGGCATTTTGTCTGTTTTCAAGTGATTTTCTTACTTTGGTGATACTTGCTTGACAGGACATTAACCACAGCGTGCAAATGCACTCTTCGTTGGTGCGGAGACTATCTTTGGACAGAGAACTGGAGGTATGGGAATCTGGAATTTTGTGCTTTGTCTTAGATTTATGTCTATCTCCGTAACATGTGCTAAAATGGAGGGAAATCATGACTGATGTCTGTGTGCCTACGGATTTCTCATCTTTATTTTCTTCTTATTACAGGAAGAGAACTTTCTAATTTCTTTATCTTAATGACACTAAACATCTATCTTTTGAAACATTAGCTTGATCCGTTCAAGGCTGAAATTTTCTTGTACATACGCATGTAATATTAATGCGATTGTCTTATGTTTCACCTGTAATTTGGGCTCGTATAGTGATTTCCGGATTTAAGTTTGGAAATTTAGGGAAATAAAAATTTTGTGTTTTTTTTTTCTCTTCAGGGGCATCGTGGTTGTGTTAATTCTATTGCTTGGAATGCTGAAGGCTCCCTTCTTATATCTGGATCTGATGATACTAACGTATGATCTTGCAACACTCACAGTTTCCAGTTTATGGATATGCAGTTTTTTTTCCTTTGCATATGAACTAACTTAAATCACGTGGTGGAAGCTTGTCTTTTCTTTACTTGTTTTTGTAACCAGCATTACCCATTGTCACATAAATATATAATATAATTCCATGTAAGTTTGAAATGGAGAGATCAATTATTAGTTGATACATTTAAACATTTTGTTCTTAAATATGAACAAATAGAACAGGTGGACATATCAATCATGTTGAATGGAAAATTTTTCCTTATCATTATAAGAGGTATGCTTCATGTAATTGTAACAGTGATTTTGAATAAATGTGAATGATGTCAAGATCATCTAATAATGTTGTTTGACTCCAATCTAAATCTGTTTCCTCTCTCTATAGATCATTGGAACATAAAAATTGTGGTTTTGCCATTTGTAGCTAACTAATCTTTTTGAGATTTCATCTGGATGGTTTCTAGCAAATCTTGTGCACCTAACGCTGCAAATTGTAGCATTTGTCACCTAAGGTGTTATGCTCATGCATGTTTTTTACTTATTGCAGATCAATATCTGGAGTTATGCAAGCGGGAAGCTTCTGCACTCAATTGAGACTGGTCACTCTACAAATATATTCTGTACCAAATTTGTTCCCGAAACTTCTGATGAACTAGTGGTTTCTGGGGCTGGGGATGCTGAAGTAATTGTTGATTTTAAAAAATATTTATTGCTTACAGTAGTTGGTCACAAAAGGTTATTAACATATTAAATCATCTGTGGTAGGTCCGTCTTTTTAATCTGTCTCGATTAAAAGGGCGAGGACTTGAAGAAAATGCCATTGATCCATCAGCCACTTTCCAGTGCCACACTAGGAGGGTTAAAAAATTGGCTGTAAGTTTTCTCATTTTTCCCTCTCATATATAGGTACTTAGGATTATATTGATTTGAGTGAAAAGTCAATTATGACGTATGATTTGCTCCTTATCTGTTTCTTATTTTTGTTCTTGTTGACAGGTAGAAGTTGGAAACCCGAATGTTGTGTGGAGTGCCAGTGAAGATGGGACGTTGAGGCAGCATGACTTCCGGGAAGGTGCTTCATGTCCTCCTGCAAGGTCATCTCATCAGGAGTGCCGTAATATTCTTGTTAGTTCTAGAAACACAGGTTCTTGTTCTTTTCAATGTGTGTGATATATGGGATTTTTTTTTTTTAAAAAAAAGCATGGAAATTGAAAAATCTGATCAGATGGTTATTTCATTTCTGATTCTGCTTTGTTTTTTGAGTGATTTGATCCACTGTTTTTTTCAATTTAATCTCACTTTTTTGTTTTGTGTTTTCCCGTTTCCATTTTGAATAACATTTACAATTTTATTTTTTTAAAATTTGTATTTTTTTTGGAAGCTTGATTTGCGTTGCGGAGCCAAGAAGTCACTATCTGATCCACCAAAGCAATGTCTTGCTTTGAAGTCTTGCGATCTCAGTCCTACCAGACCTCATTTGCTCCTTGTTGGCGGGAGGTAACTTCTGGTTTCTTTTTCTGTTTTTATGGAACTTTTGATGTAAGTGCTATTTGAAGTAATCCCCACATGTGTTGATATTTCAGTGATTCATTTGCTCGGCTCTATGATAGAAGAATGCTGCCACCGATGTCATCAAGTCAGAAAAAGTTGCCGCCGCCTCCATGCGTGAGCTACTTTTGTCCAATGCATCTTTCTGATCGTGTAAGCTCTCTGCTCTGCATGGCAATTGCCACACCTTCTTTTGGTGGCTTATAATAATGAATGTCTATGTTTCAAGTTGCTGTTAAAAAGGAGATATGTAAGCTGTTTAAGATTGTTCTTATGTGTTATTTGTTTTAACAGGGACGTTCAAGCTTACATTTAACTCATGTCACATTCAGTCCCAACTCGGAAGAGGTGCTCCTTAGTTATAGTGGGGAGCACGTATACCTGATGGATGTGAACCCAGGTATATCTTTTGTCTGAATCCTTATGAAGTGAACTGCATAAGCGATTTTATGCAAAAACTTTATGGTTTTTAGATTCATTTTCAACTTAGGTTGTGAGATTTTTCTATTGTGTTCCAAGTTTGAGGATTTAATGGTTGTATGTATCAGTCCGCTGTCCTCCACTAGAATGGAAATGTTTTACCGTATATTTCAAATGATATACGTGTTAGTGCTTTAGGCATGTAATCTGTGGTTAAGTCCCCTGTGCATTTATTCCTGATTATATGATAGGGGTGCATAACCATTCTATTTTCATGCTGATCTTCTTCCCATCTGTAGTGGGGATGTATAAGCATACATGACACAGATTACCCAGGGGTGAAACCTCTTGTTTGTTTGAGCCTAGTTCTTCCATCTAACTTTTTTGAAAGTAATGAAGGAATAGATTCTTATGTAGTGACGCTAGTATTCTTTGCAGCAAACGGAGGTTCAATGCGTTATACATCAGGAGATGTTTCAAATCTTACAAGCTTTATACCCAATCTCAATGGGGTGGAGCTGCAACCTGCAGTGCGGCGCCTCTATCCAAATGGATCTGTTGTGAAAAGACGTACAGCTGCTATGGTGTGTCTCTGTGTTTTCTAGTGTTTCACTTCGTGTTTTAGTTACTCTCTCTTTACAGCAATTCTTGTTTTGATGGGTGTTATTTTTTGTTTTCTTCGTGTGAGTTCCCAGCTTGACAAGTGCAGAAAATTAATTCAGTTTGCTGGAAAATCACTGAAGGAGGAAACAAATTATTACCATGGAATTGAGGCTTGTAATGAAGTTCTGGATGGCTATGGTCATAAGATTGGACCTGCATTAATGCATGAGTGTCTATGTCTTCGTGCTGCTTTGTTGCTTAAGGTGTTTAAAACTTATAATACATCAGCTCAATTGATTATCTTGATATGTCAAGTTGCCTTGTTAACCTTCTTCGGTTTTTCCATCAGAGAAAATGGAAAAATGATGTGCATATGGCAATAAGAGACTGTTTAAGGGCCAGGAAGATAAATTCTAATTCTTTGAGAGCGTTGCTTGGTATGGCTGAAGCTTTGTCACAGGCAAGTGAACTCACAACGTATCAACTTCCTTGGATATATGTAATTTGGACCTGGTAAAATTAACTTAAAAGTGACAACATGTTTTAAGTGCTTGATTCCTATTTAGCTCTTCCCCATACATTTGTTGAATCTAGAGGATATTGGTCTTAAGATTGAGGATTTGACTTTCTGAGCTATTGCAGTTCTTTTAAAGGTGCTTATGTCACATTTTCTAGACATCCACTGTAATTCTTTTGTGATCACTGGGAAACTTTTTTTTTGAGGTTTGAGTACAGGCCTTACATGAATTATTGCATCAGCATGAGTCACTCGGACTAAGCTGATTTCTAGGAACTAATTGCATAAAACATTATTCAAATATTTTTGTTTATGATTCTCTACTTATAATGCATCACATTAACATTATGATTAACTTCTTCTGTAGCTTGGAAAGCACAAAGAAGCTCTTGACTTTGCTGTTGCAGCCCAATCACTTGCTCCCTCTGATCCTGAGGTCGTGGAAAAATTGAATGACATAAAAGGGCTTATGGCTGCAGGTTAGCTTTTCATACTAGATTGTATATTGCATATGGATATTCTCTTTGTCTCATTTTGTTAGGTCGGCCTTGTACTTATTTTATTCTGCCGGTTAGATGTCTTCAGAAATCCTTTTTCAATTTTGCCAACCCTAGATCCACTTTGGTTCTTGGATTCAGTCATGTGATCAATTTCACTAGCAGTTTCTGCCTCACCTTTTTTTTTTTTTTTTGGTGGGGTCACAGTCTAGGAAAGACCTGAAAGATTGATTGACCTTTGATTTTAGTCTATGGCTCTATGCTACATAAGCTTATGACTATGCCGTGATCTTTTTCTTTCTGCACCATGTTTGTGTTAAAAAGCATTTTTATTTCCCATTAATTCTTTTTAGATTTTTGGTTTTTGGGTATCTCTTTTCATTTTTGCAATTATGGACATTTGTTTTGTGGTTTTGTTTTTCCCCTTTAATAGCTGAAGCTGAGAAAGTTAACAAGAATGTCAATGGAGAGTCAAATTCTGAATCTCGATCTGCAAGGTTACTCTCTTTGAGTGACATACTTTATCGTTCTGAGGGTAACAGTGATGCTTCACAAGATGGTCCTAGGTCTGATAGAGACGATTCCGATTATGATGAGGAGCTTGAGCTTGATTTTGAAATGTCAAGGCCGGAAGAAGAAGGGCATGAAGTTGACTCAAATGTTCTTCATGGGAGTTTAAATTTGAGACTTCATAGGAGACCCGATTCTTCCGAAGAGACTGAGAAAGTAAATGGTTTTAGTGAATCAGCTACGTCGTCTACACATCAATGCGATAAATTTCAGGTATGATTTATTCATCAGTTTCTAAGTAATATATGGCATTCTTGTGTCAAGGAAGAAATGGCCTCCTGGATTACTTCTGCAGCATGGGATGTATTTCAGTTTAAACTTTATGTACTCTTCTAAAGCACTCCACTGATATGCATATGTCATTTGCACTGTTCTTATTGTTCAAATTCTAGCTAATGGTTATGCAGGATTCTTTTGTAGAAAGGTTCCAACCAATGCTCTGTTTTCAAAACTTCTTGTGTTTGTTTGGCAGCCTGAGGCAGTGATAGACATGAAACGTAGATACGTCGGCCACTGTAATATCGGGACTGACATAAAGCAAGCCAGTTTTCTTGGGCAGAAAGGTAGTTTTGATTTGATATTTATACTAGTTGTACCTCCTTTAATTAGCAGAAGGTCCCAGAGCAAGTTTTCCATCCTCTTGAATATTCTGTGAATCAAGAATCATCTATGCATTCTTATTTCCAGGAAACAAGATGCTTGCATTGCAAATAGATATATTGGACCTAGCCCCGCTTTTGGTTTCACTTTGCAAGTATAATGCACGTTTGAACTGATTTTTGTATTTCAGACAAAATCTCTCTCCTTATGTAGGGGTTTTTTATTTGGGGTGAAAAGTAAATTTTTAGATAAAATTACGGAGACCAAAGTGAACCAAAGTTCTGCACACGGGTTCTAAGCATTTTTTGAGTTCTATTACATTTTCAACTTTGTAGCCTATTATCATAAACTCCCATCTTAGAGAAGATTTTTTCTACTTTTCAAGCTTTGCTACAGCTTGAAAGAATTCTCCACACAATTCAAACTTGTCAGGATTCCCTTCCAGATCATAGCAGCAGTCGTTGTGGCAAACAAAACTTTCTGCTTGATTTTGCTCTGATTGCAGAATCTCACCAACTCAGTCTTCCATTGTCTAATTGTGTCTGATACTGTCAATTCCTATCCATTGTACCTTCCGCGAGGATACACTCTTGAAATACAGGTGTTACTGATTCATCAGCAACATTACACAATCACGCAATTAAAAGTCATCCAGTAGTATCTGCAACTTTCTGATTCTATCAGGAGTCCACATTTGATTCAACAAAGGCAACCAAATGTAAAAACAGTGTTTAGGGACATTGTACCGGTTCCATATGATGTTGCCTTTCCTTGCATTTCTGTCCTCCTCCCCACTCCCCCCACACGCGCCCAAAAGGAAAAAACAAAAAAAAAAAAAAGGAAAAGTTTCCTCCCTTTATGGCTTATTAGAGTGGGTTGCCAGGTTTTTTGTAGCTGTTTATGTGATACCACACAATGTAGTTAATCAGATAATACCTGTATGTGCATTATACGTTAGTTTGCTTCGTCCCATCATGTTGTCTATCTGGTTGTACACCTTGGTGTATGGTTCTGTATTTACTATCACAAATGTCTATCTTAACCTATTTTTGGCCAAACACAGGAGAATATATTGCTAGTGGAAGTGATGATGGAAGATGGTTCGTCTGGGAGAAGAGAACTGGTAGACTTGTGAAAATGCTTCTTGGCGATGATGCTGGTACGTTTAGTTTTCTTTTTAGTTATTCCAAAAATCCCTGGCCCTAAAATGTTATTCAGTTTGCTCATCATTGTCGGAGCTTGTTTGATCAAAGCCCTTATAATTTCATTGTTTTACAGTTGTAAATTGCATTCAGTGCCATCCGTTTGACTCTGTTGTGGCCACCAGTGGGATTGATGATACAATAAAGGTGAGAACTAGGAGAATTGAAGCATTTATTCCATGTCGCTATGTGGATTGTGTCATTGGGTGCATCCTTTTGTATTTTGATTCAGATTTGGGCCCCTACTGCTCCAGTCCCTTCAATTGTATCTGGTGGATCTGCTGGGCCTGAAACATTGGACATGGTAGAGGCAATGGAGAACAATCTACGAAGATTAAACCGTAATCGGGAAGCAATCTTGTGAGTTCCCATTCAAAACCACTTATATATTCACACTCAAATCTGGAATCAACCATATTAAACTCAAATCATATGCGGTCTAAAGCCTTAAACGAATAGTCTGTTTTATTTCATTTGTTTCTGGGTCTTACTCTCTCCCTTCCTCGGCATATCTGTCCATCATTTACCTGCTTATTTCATTTCACAAATGATTATGTGATCTTTGATAAAGATCATTGCAACAGTTATGGAATGAATGAAAACTCCCCTTAACTCATATTTGTGGTATTTAGCAGGCCGTTTGAGATACTGGAAAGGTTTCGGATGCATGAATTTTCAGAAGGAAGTTTGCATCCGTTTGAATGCACACAGAGCTGAACAAGATCATTACTTAAAGTGCATATGGTAATCTGCTTCCATTTCTGTGCTTTGTAGTGCGTTGCTTCTGCTTGTGTGTAGTATTTCATTTCTCAAGTTACAAATAGAAGTCATATGTGCACGCCCATTGTTGAACAGGCACTTTGAGCAATAGAAAAAAATATTCCCGATGCTCAGAATTTGTTCCATTTCTGTAGGTGCTGAATGCAAAGCATGCGCTATGGATTTCGGGGTTGGTAGAGAGTTGCGGATTTGACCTTGTAAAGCATTTTGGTCGAGGATATGTTAGGTTTTTTTTTTTTTTTTTTTGTGTGTGTAGATACTTCTCCTTCCCTAAAACCCATGTCGGTTTCTTCTGCTTCTCATTTTCATAATGCAGTTCTGTATGTATGTATATATTTGTACTATTTATGTCATTTTGCTCGAGCATGCAGATATGTATATAGCCTTCAAACAAATTGTATGCGTACATAATTATTTCCTTCATTGTAATTGAACAAAATGTTTGCGTTATTCCTGGTATTATGTAAGAATAATAAGGTTAAAACTCTTCTTCTTCTTTTTTTGGGGGAGATAATTATTTCTTTGTCCCTTTGTTTATTTTCATATTTATTGCCGAAAAATGGTATCCTTAAATTAGATGGCATGAGTAACAGGACCATATGACACAATTGGTCTTAACCTTGCATTCGGTTTTACGGTACAAAGAAATTGTAAATCAACTCAATGGTTGCTATTGATAGTTCAATATTTGCTTGAAACTGATCAATGCAGAAAAGAGAATATCATCCATGAACTCGTGCGATAGATTCGTACGATTTATGGACTTCAATTGTCAATCAACAAGACGCGTTTTGCAGACTTCAAACTCGATCCCAGAACAAGATGTGGGGTTCACTTTAACCAAAACACAAAATACCACAGTTCGAACTTTCTTTTTTTTTTTCTTTCTCATTCTGTTTTTAATTATAATGTGGGTCTTACCCCTAAACCTAAGAAATGTCAAGAGGGGTGGCCCAAGTGGTAAAAGATTAGGTATCCAACCTGGAGGTCTCAGGTTTGAAACCTCACGACATTAGAATGTTAGAATGTTATCTTTTTTTACAGGTTGCAGTTGGAAGTTATTCAAGCACTCTATCGAATTTGTCTAAATGATGGTGCATATAACTGATAACGTGTTGACAAAACTTCCTAACATGCGCATATATTTGCTTAAAAGTGAAAATCCCTTCCAAATTGTCGTGCAACTAACTCCTCTCGTTGACTTAATACGTTTACTTTGCTCCGATCGGTCAACATATGTGATCGTCCCAATTAGTGATCTATTATAATTTGTTTCGTCAGTGAAATACATGTCTTAATTTATAGTAGATCTACGAATGGGGTACATCCTTCTTTCATTTTTTTTTTTTCTATATTTTTTAACTGCCTCATTTTGAGGCAACAACGTAAGACTAAATAGGAGCTTAATCTGCATCTTGTGTGTGCAAACTTTTAATAATTTAGTTCGAGATAGATTGATGTGTGATATGATATTTGAAACTAGGTTTTCCTTACATACACATTTGAAACCTGTCTTGGTTTTTACTTTTTAAGGGTTTTGCTAGTGATTGTGTTCGTTTAGTTCGATATCATATTAGGATAAAATTTGCTTAGTTTATTCGGACTTTTTTTTTCTTGTTATGATTGCGTTCTTATTCTTAAACTTTTTGACCGACTCTCTCATCCATTAACGTATCTCTATAACTTGGCTAGCAGTAATTATGAAAAGAAAAAAAAATCCACACAAAAGACCACACATGTTACAGTTCAGTGAAAAGACAATTTGTGATTCAAAATGCTGTAAAGAAATTGAAAAACTGTTACCGTTTAATACGAAATTTTTATCTTGTTTTAGTTCTCCAACAAATTAAGATTCACTTCGTCTTTAGTTTGTGGCTTGTCTAGGAGGATAACGTCATAGCCAAAGAAAATCGTCCATTTACAATCATCTTGGTTGACATGATCAAACAAAGACTCACTACAAACTTGTTTGTATTTTAGAGATTGTTCTATCCGGCTGCATGTCATTGTTTTGCCTTGAGAAATACAACACGATATATATCCCAAACGAACAACTTTTAAACCTAGTTCTAATTCGTCAAGTTTAAAGTAAAATTAACTCCCCTAGTAAGTATCAAAATGGTCTTTTTCTCTTTAACAAATACAAAATACTTTCTCCGAATTTACACGCAAAACTAAATTATCGTTAAATTTATAAGAACATAAAAAATAAGTGCCATGCATCGTAAAAGTTTGCAACTTGTAAGTCGAATGAACTTTAGGTAGATAGATACTCCCTCCGTCTCAAAAAAAATAGCTCATATTAAGTTTTTAAATTTATACTAAAAACAGCACAAAACTCAAAGTAGACTATTTTTTTTGGGACGGAGGTAGTATATCGCTATTCACCACAAAATGCCATTTTCCTTTTTATCAAAACATATCGATGGAGGTTTTTTTTTTTTTCCGTCTTCATATCTTTTTCCACCAACTTTTTATAAAACTATCTTGCGGATCATACATCCATTCATCGATAACGAGAGAGGACCACTGTGATACCCTTCCTTTCGGCAACAAAGAATCACTAAAACGTAAAAAAAATCTACTCAAAAGATCAACCAAAAAAAAAGGTCACACCAACCTTAAAATGGTGTTTACTTTCTCTAAAATCTGGAAAGCTTTATGTATAAATTATACTCCCTCTGTCCCAAAATTATTGTCCAGTTTGGATTTTCACTTTTAGTTCATTTTATACTATAAATGAAAATCCAAACTGGACAATAATTTTGGGACGGAGGGAGGGAGTACAAACATAGATAAATATGGGACCTTCATAAGAGAAAATTGAACGCATTTTTTGGTCTCTCTCTTCTCTCTTGCGTTTTTTCTTTAAAAGAAGAAGAAAAAATTGGTACTTGTCCATCGTAACGTTTATGACAATTCACAAATTTCATTGAGTTTTCGTTTTCTAGATGTGGACTTTACCCTTATCATTTCATTATTAATTGTACGTTTGTCCCAACATTAATTCTCTATTTTCTTTCATGTGGGACAACATTATATATAGTTCTGATTTTTTGTGTTGTAAATCTTCTGGCCACAGCCTTACTGACCTGACATTTATGTTAGTACATTTTACATATACTCCAGGTGATACAAGTACAACTGTGTTGTATGATTCTTTTTAAAGAAAAAATAAACCAAAATTTCATCGAATTAGTTAGAAATCGTTTAACAATGATCGACAAGAGAAGAGTGTACTTGTTAAATGATTGAACTTGATAGGATTTCATTTATGAATAAATTAATTATATATGATCCTTGTATTCAAGTGGATTAATATCGTTGTATCAATACTAGCACTTCTTTCTTTTCTTTTTTCTTTTTTTCTTATTTGCAAGGTGTTCACTTTCGACAACAATGACTAATCCCGCTCGTTGAATTGTAGATACCTCAATGGGTGGGACAATTGGCCAAAGTATTTAAGGTTATTCCATAACCATGACGAGTTTCGAATTCTCGACCTATAGTTAAGGGACACTTTTGAATAACTCTTAGCATCAAGACGTAAATCAACAAAAATAAAACAAGCTCCCATTTTTGCAAACCGCCAAAAGGTTATTTGAAAACACACACAAAAAAAAATAATAATAATAATAAAAAGATCTCTTACGATATTGTTCACTACAACGTATTTTATAGGATTAATATATTGATCATACAGTTTTTCTTTTTCTTTTTATCACACAATCTTTCCAACCCAAAAGGTTCAAAAAATTGTGCTAACTAAACTTGATGTGAAAATAATTTTTTTTCATCGCCGATAAATACATAGTGCTTTATATTTTAGAGAAGATCAGTATAATGTAGAATGGATTTGCAAAACAGCACAAAAAATTAACATAATAATTAACGGCCAAAATTAGCAAAATAATCTAAAATGGATTAAAACTTTAGTAAGATAACATGTGTTACAAATAAATTTAATTGATGACCTAGAGTAGAAATATATTAAAGATTGATGACTTGTTTTAAGGTTCATTTAAAGATAAATACAGTCATAATAGTGGTTATTATTCCAAAGATCAATTTCCTCAGGGGAAAAGGCTACTTCAGAAAATGGAATAATTCAAATGAACCTTAGATCACCTTAAAGAGGAAAATTTTGTTAAAAAAGAAATTATTCAAATATAATACGCAATACTAACACGTTAGGTGAACCAAATATAAGAAATTGCGTGGTCTATTTCCGCCATATGTTTTTTTCTCAATAATTTATATTCTTTGTCCTACAAATATTACTTTTTTTGGGTGCTTGCGAGCGTTTTCTAGATCATTCTTCCCTTATGGTTTTCTCTCATTATTTGTTCAAACTGCGTCATTATTAAGAAATCAAGGCTGATGATCAAGTCATCAATGTGTATATATTCATATTCTATTCCATGTGTCTAATCAAACTTTAGTTTAGAGGTGACTGATATTTTTCTATTTTTAATGTTAAGGGACCCAAATATATTAAAAAGTAAGGAGAAAAATTAATGCCGTGAAGAATAAATTACAAAAAAAAAAAGAAAGAAAGAAAGAAAGAAAAAGAATATAATTTATATATGATATGGACCACCACCTTGCCCCGTTGAGCTACAATTTGTCAAATTACCAATATTTTAGATTAAGGTACTTGTCATTCACGGCCACCTCCGAAAACGATGTTATCATTCATCAATTGCACACGCAATTTTATAATTGAACTTGTCTTCCACACGATTTTGCTTCATAAGAAAAAGCAAAGAATTTTGTGCTGTTTTGCAAATTTTAAAACAGTGCTTTTTTTTTTGTTCTAAAAGACTCCCTCCGTCCCATAATTATTGTCTAATTTTACTAAAATGAAAGATTTTATTTTTGATCAAACTTAATTACATTTTACCTTAAACAACCGGATATACCCCTACATAAGTAATTGTTCAACCACTAAGATTTTATGGATAATGTTTTTTACTAAGGACAAATGTGTAACTTGATCCATAAAAAATCAAATTGGACAATAATTTTGGGACAAAAATTTTTTGGTAAAGTGGACAATAATTATGGGAGAGAGGGAGTAACTATTTAGCACAATAAATGAACGGAAGAAATTTCTCTTTTTTAGGAATTAAGAAAAGTTAAGAATACCTCCATTAACAATTAAACGTGAGGTAGAATTAAGAAAAAGGCCGAGATGCATTGGGTCATCAACTTGCAACCAATATCAACTTACTCCTTTTAATAGTTGATTTCGACTTGGATTTACAGCTTTGAATATTGATATTTTATTGTATAGTTAAATTAGATTACCAGAATTCGTTCTATTACCTCTTCGAATAATTGCTTGAATATGATTTGCTCTACAAGGCACAACTTGATTTCCACTATCATTAGTAGGAAATATGTTCTTAACTTAATTATAACATCACCATCTAAAACTAAAATGTGTGGTACATGTTGCAAAAGTTGAGAATCGATTTGGTTTTCTAATGAATTGAAAATCAAGATTGAAACATTAGACGATCTCTCTGTTGAAGATGACGGACCAAAAGATATATCTAAATTTTAGAATTATTTAGCAAAAAACTCCATTTAACCCTTTCAAGGCTAAAACCTCAAAATACATAACTAGGAAATGAGTCATATGCTTGCCTATGCTAGAAAACATCAGTGAATGGAAATTGAGAAACCTTGCATGCGCAATACTCATACAAATTCAACTGTAAAATAATTCACATGATATATATTCAAGTATCGTTTCAGCTCTAACTCAAACTATAAGGACCGACAAATAAATTCTTTCAATAAATCATCAAAACTACATGGGCTTATTAGCAATTAACCAGATCTTTTTTTATTCTGTTTTTTCTTTTTTTTCTCCTAATCTTCTAATCTAATCTGTGGCGGACAGCCCACTGATGAAACACGCACTAGCAGAAAGTATAAACTATAAAACGCTCATCCTTTTTTTCCTTTGATCAAAATCTCTAAACATTAATCATCATTCCCAAGAAACAAAAAAAAAAAAAATCAAACACAATGACGACGAACAGAGGAGGCTCTGCTCCGGCAACCACTTCATCATCTCAGCCATCATCAATCCAGGAAGAGGAAATCCATACCGAATGTTGCATGTGTGGTGATTTGGGCTTGTCTTCCGAGCTTTTCCGATGCAAAATCTGCCATTTCCGATCCCAACACCGGTAAATCTCCGACCGGCCCTTCTCATATTATGAGTCAAAGCTTCCAATTTTACCATTTCTTCTTGTTAATTTCTGCAACCCTTTACTGAAAAGTTCGGCTCTTTGATCGATTTTTTCAGGTATTGCAGCAATACATACCCAAAAGCAGAGTCTTACAGTGTCTGCAATTGGTGTCTGAATAAGAAGGAAGAAACAGGGGAGAAAGCCCAAAATTCAATAAATTCATCCTCGTCGAATAAAAGTTCCACAAGTAAAAGTGATCAGGATGATCATATGATAACCAGGATCAAGAAGAAGAGTGTTAATAGCAATATTGGAGCCAGAGATGGGAATAATTCGAAGAATAGTGAAAAGGGTTCGTTGAATAAGGTGAATGTGACTAATCATTCCATCAAGAAACAGAAGTCATCTTCGCCGGAGAGATCGCCGGCATTACTAGCTGCCAGGAAGAGGATCACCACCGCGACGGGCACCGCGGCCGCCGGTGGTGGTGGTGGTGGGACGATGAAGGAGAATTTGAGGAGGACAAAATCGGATATACCAGGAAGTGTGATCTACAAACACGTTTTCAAGAATAAGGTCAGACGGTATAAGCTTTTAGATGAGGTTTCAAGTTAATATCTTTTTCTTCCCTTATTGTATAGAAAATTTTCTTTCTTATACTAGCAGAAAGATTTTGCAGAGAATTGATTTAGGGTTCGTTTTATGGAACCCTTGATGTTTGATGAGGCTTAAGATGATTTAGTACTATTTTCTTTTTCCGGTATTTTCAGTAGAAATTTCATTAATTTATGAGCATTGCCAATGTGAATGAACTTGGGAAAAGGGGGAATCAAGAGCAATTGAATCAAAGTGCTGATTAATTTAGTCCACAGATTAATTTCAGGTTTTGAGATCATTGTAAAGACTGACCTAAGTATCTTATCACAAGTTGTTTCTTGTACATTCTTGAAACTATAGTGACAAGTTGTCGTGTTACCTTGGCAATTAGGCAATTGGACCGTTTTAATGTTGCATTTCTCTCAGTCATATTTAAATATTATATTACTTCCGCATCGAAAAAAATAGTCAGTTTTGAGTTTTACAATGTTTTTAACACAAATTTGAAATCTCAATATGGATTATTTTTTTAAGACAGAAGTATAATTTAATTTGTGTCTTATAAAACGGACTTATTTTCTTTCTTGTAATGGCGTTATTTCATAAATTGCACGTCTCGTACATTATGGAAAATGAAATATCATTACATTAAACACTAATCTCAAATTACCAGTGTAATTTAGGCGACATGATCAAACAGTCCTCTAAGAAAAGTGTTGTTTGATTGCTTGAACTAGTCGCCTAAAATTGGTTGGAAGAGAAAAGTGTTTTTTTTTTGGGGGGTAACAGAAAAACCTATCAAAGTAATTAAGAAACAATTAATTCAATTATTCAAAGGATATTCTTCTTCATTTTTATTCAGTTTGGATCGATCTCAGCTTGTAGACCTAGAAATATGGTACTACTCCATTAGCAGCATTATCGAAAAGTGCATTGTAACATAACACAAGCAGACAAACCCCGATCCGGTAGTGAAAAAGAAATTGATTAATTAGTCTTCACTAAACCAAGCAAAGTTGTATAGGTTGATGTGGATCGAACGCGTAAGTACTATCTTTAGCTTTTCGTTAAGATTAATGATTATTCTAAGACGACCTCGTGATGTGTGCTAATTAACACTGATTATCGTTCACATACAATGCACTTTTAACCAGATCTACTTAAACACTAGTACTATATGCTTAAGTACTATATATGATGATTGAATCATGTTAAGCAAATCATTTTTTTTTTTCTTTGGTTATACTATTTTTGAATCTTTGTTTGCGATGATGATGAGGAGGAGGACATGCAACCATGTTCTTGGCGGGTTCATGGGACATATGTTGATTAAGACCAGATTATCACATGATCAAAGTGGCTTACTATATTTGTTCCAACATTATTGTTGTCGGGTCCGTATCACCTTGTTATGTACGTTAACTATTTTTCATAATTATCGTTACTAAATCTTGCACCATTCCATTCGTTAACTTATAATATACTCTTTCTAATTCTATTTATAAGACACGTTGTGAAATTAGATTTAATTAGATTTGTGTCTTTTAAATGAAGCCGGAGGACACAGGAGTAGTATAATGTTGATAGATGGTCATGGGCCTCATGGCTTCACTATTAATATCCAAAGAAATATTAAGTAGTCTTCTGGTTGAACCGATTTCAGAAACAAGTTGAATGGTTGATTTATAAATCTGTGACAAAAGTTAATTTGGATAATCTGGAAAAAAAAAAAATAAAACCCTAGGTTGGCTGGTATGAAATTTTGAATCATCCGGTACTGAACGGAGTTAATGATTGTTGCATGAGCTTAGAGGTTAGAAGGTAATCTAAGAAGGAGAATGAGATTGATTGATTTCTAATATGGGACACTGATCGTACTACCAATTACCAATAATGTATTAATGTTATGTTCTCCAAATTGTACTAAATTGCATATGTATTGTAATCAATGTTATTCATAAAGTTAAAACTGCCACTCAATTAGGTACTCAAGTCTCAAAGTCTGTTGCTAATTTATCTCGGATTAGACGGTCGGAAAATTTTCTTGATCACAGTTAAATAGTCGTACTTGTATGTTGCTGAATTGGTTTGGAATATTTTCGAACATTTGATTTTGGAAGAATTCTCGTGAATCACTATTAATGAAAATTTCTTGTTTCTCTCAAAAAATAGTTAAGTTTGCGATGTTCCGATTCATCTAGGAATTGTACCAATTTAAATACTCCCTCCATTAATTCAAAATGTAGGTCATTTTAAGTTTGGAGAAATATTTCAAAATGTAGATCTGTTTTAGGATTTTTAGGCAAACTAAAGATTAATTTCTCAACTTTATCTCGATAAATGATGCTAACCATTTTTCATCTAATCTTGGTTATAGTTCTAAAATGATTAATGACGGATAAAATAGATATTTAACACACAAATTAATTATTAAATGATTGTCTCTTTAGTTTACGTGTAGAGTCTAAAGTGTCTTACATTTTGAGATAGAGGGAGTATTTGGATTGTTTTCTCAGTTATTCCGGCGTCAATTTCAACTTCTTCTTTCATTGGATTTATTGCACAATTGAGAAGAGTTTTTAAGGTCTTTGTTCTAGACTTGGAGGACGTATGACTTTCTCATTTATGTGAACAGTAAATAAGGTTTCTCAGTGTGTTAATTTAATTTATCCTGGTCCCTTTTTTTAAAGAAAATATTCTTGGGTTGGGTTTTGATTCTGTGATGGATAAGGTCACCATGCATGATTGTATAGCTGGTACATTTGTAACATACGTAAGTGAAATGTTGGTTAAGGAAGAGAGGAAGTCATATGTGATAAACGTTATATGTTTCTCTGCTCTCACCGTCCAGTGGTTAGCCCAATTCTTCTTTGTGGAAAGATGTCACTTTGTTAGGTTAAAACTTAGGCCCATCAAAATAAATGAAAGAATTTGAATGAAGATCATAATTCATACCTCCTTTATTGATAGAAGATCTTAATTTTAATTCATTTTCAAGATTATCATTGTTGGGTTTTTTTTTTCTCTACTTATCCACTGGTGAAAAAAAATTTACAGGGTATGATTCAAACACCACGGATATTGAACATGAATCTGTTATCAAGAAATTTTTTGTGTACTCTTTCTGATCATACTTATAAAATCATAATCAAATTCGAATTAGATTTAATTTAAATTTATAAATAGGAAATGTTTGTCAAATGTAAAAACAACTGAATATTAACGTGATGATCAAGTAACAAGATTTTTTAATCACCAAATCAATTGTTCATTCTCCCTGAGACTTTAATTTGCATGGTTTATCCCTCTGCATACATTTTTTTTAAAAATGTTTTGAACATCACTTTGTTATACTAGTATTAACACTCGTGAGAAGTTACTGTGGAGTAAATAGAATCAATCGGTGAGATCCCAAAATCAAAGTGGCAGAGCATTAAAAAGCTGAGAGCATCTGCAAGTACTGCAAAACATGGATATTGGGCTTGTCATTAAATCTTGGTGTCGTTGTTTAGTTGACTCCCACCGCCATTGCCGTTGCATTCTTAAATGATGTACACTTTCATACAGTACTACTACTTTCTCCTAAATCTTTACTCCCATGCATGCGTTAACTATAACCATTCCATTTTTATCTTTCCCTATGAGCAGTGGCGGAACCAGAATTCTGACTCTGTATATTAAAGTTATATGAAAGACCGATAATTTGCAGGTGATTCGGTGGATGAGTCAAGTTTACACGTTATAAATTCTTTTAAACATTATTATCTAATTTATAGGGCAACAAATTATGTCCAGTTGGGGACGTTCGATAAAATTGAAACATACAAAAATTACATTAGAAAAAAAAAAAAAAAAGAAGCAATACATTGCATTTTCATTAAGAAAATGATAAAGTTGCACTATAATTGGTTGTTGTGAATTTATTCAAGCTAACTACTAGTCCTGAGAAGTTTTTATTAGTTGGTCCTGAATGCGTTTATGAAATTATGTACTGGATCTTATTAATTTATTTTCGTTGCCAATGCGCCATTAATTGATTAAAATAATTGTTGAATGACTTTTGAACTGTATGTAATATATGTATATATATGTACAAGTCATTCATGATGTATATCAACATCAAGGACATCGTATAGTTCACCTTAATTATCAAATGCCCTACATGATCCTACCTCAATAATTGGTTAATTATCAGACCAGAATACACATCCAGAATTTTCTATTCTCGTAATTCATGTCGTATACATTGAATTAATTTGATCAATATTGACTCGGAAAAAGTCCACAACGGGAAAATATGCAATTCGGTTCGTAGTCAAAATAGTTTTGCGTTTATTTAAAGATGAAATTTCACATTGACAAATTACCCTCTCTAATTAAAAAAAAAAAATTATACTTGTTAAAACGAACGGGAAATAAAACTCTTATTTATAATGATAAAAAGTATAAAAAGAAATTATATAAAGAGAAGAGATATATGATCCATAATTTTATGGTGTGGAACCTTCTCCTGCATGCCGTTGAAAAAGTGACAAAAAGACTTTGTAAATGTAGCATAAAAATTGGTCCGTTAGTCGATGTAATAACTGAAGTTGGGATTTTGATCAACTACTCGTAATTCATGAAAAATATGATTCAACTTATCTTTCAAACTTATGTTGCACGTAACTCGTGGTTGTGATAATGAGATATATGAATCGCATAGTATGGATGTGTATAATATGTGAATAGTATGTGACTCATATATACGAATCGAATGAAGGTTATATACATACGACTTTAATATGACTCATTTTACCAACAAGTGGAGACGAGTGTTATATATACGTACATTGTTTTATACTCCCTTTGTCCCATAAGTATTGTCCAGTTTAGATTTTTATTTTTAATTCAAATTGTACTAAAAGTGAAATCTCAAACTGGACAATAATTTTGGGACAGAGGGAGTATTAAAAGTTAATAAAAACTAATGTAAAAGCCCAATTTATGTTGAAGGCTTTTCTGGGGAGTAAGAAGTTCATTATTTTTTCTTCTTCTTCTTCTTTTTCAGATCGGGGTACTGTTGATCATTGACCTTCATTCATCCTGATTATTATAATGTAGTATTAAATTTCAGTTATGTTGCGTATCAATTATCTATGTAGTATTTGTAATTATTATGAATAAATTAGTACAAAAATTAATATTCAACAAAAATTGTTGATGCCATTTATTATATCAATCAGTTTCATTAAAATCGTGTATAAAATCAAACGACCACAAGATCTAGTAGTATGAAAGAAAACTTCAAAGAGGATGGCCGACCTCATTAAAAATCCAAATTTAAAGAGGGGCAGGGGCAGGCAATATTGGGTGCACTGTATAATTAATTAATTAATTAAATTGGATGGGTTAAATTCATTCCAGACTTCCAGTACGTAATTGTTCCCGAACATTTACTGAATGAGGCTTTCCTATTTTATGCCTTTCGCCCCAAAACGCCAAAACCCTAATATCACAACGTACCACATATTCATCTCATTTCGCACATTTGCGTTTTTTTGGCTTGTAAAAATAAAGCACGAATCGATCATTTTCTATATCTTCAAGCTATATAGATATATATATATATATATATCTTTCATTATTACCTTCACGATTCAGAAGTTGAAAGGGCATACAATACTGCAATGAAGATATCATGCAAAGGTTGAAAGTGCATATATTGACTAGGCGATTTGAATCGTATAATATCTCTCCCGGATCTTATTTATAAGACATGAGAATCAAATTTAATTTAAATTTGTGCTTTATAAATACTATGATTTGAGATAATATTTGCATATTATAGTGGGAAGTGAAGAGAAGGGAGAAAGGAACTGCAACCAAATTGCACATTTGATCATATCTGAAGAACATCCCTTTCATACCTAATATTATTGCTAAGCTCCAAAATTGAGCCTCCTAATCAGTTGACGTAAAGTTTTTTTTTTTTGTTTTTGTGGAGTTTCAATGTGCTTGTAATTGTCACGGAACGTTGAAATATACCAAAACATAAAACTAAAAAGAAAGTAGGAAGTTCATAAATCACAGAGATACATTAATTATTAATTTCCCTAATGTCATCATGGTAAGTAATCTTTTGCTATCATGTTCATGATAGCCAATTTATTAGTACAATTGATATATAATTAAGCACCGCATATCAATTGGCATTTGGAAACAGAACATATTTTGTGTGTTATGTTTCGGTTAATTATGGCCTTCATGACTCGGATTTGTGAAAAAGATCTAACCAAACTACTAGTGATTGGTAAGAGATTAGCAATGTGGATCTGCTAAATAGTTTTTGCGTGTAGGAAAGTACGCACTTGACTCGCTTATTGCTCCAACACTTGAGAGAATTTTCAGTGTTTCACCTGAGTCGTTGAATTATGTCAAATCTCATTAAAAATGTTGCGACTTCGAATTTCAAAAGTTACAAAAGAAAATATCGTGATATGAACAAATAAACTATTAATCTTTACTCAAAAAAATAATAAGCTATTAATCTAGTAATTAGAGAATTGAATAACAATTTAGTAGTTAATTAGAGCGTGATAATTCTGGGTTCAATCCCATGAAAGAGTTTGTAAAAGGAGTTAAATCCATATTTAAATGGTGTCTACTGTATTGAATTATATATATATATTTTTTAAAAAATATTAATGTTGTGATAATAATGTTCATATCTTACGAAAAAGGTGTTCGAATCTCCCTAGTTTCCCACAAAATGAACATAAGTTTTCTTGGTGGGCACACACACACAAAAAATGATGATGAACTTTTTAATTAGTTAAACCAAAAAGAAGGGGGGAAAAACATTATGAAAGTAAAAAAGAAAATGAAAAAATCAATAAAGAAGAGGAGGGACAAAGGACATAAAAAAGCAAAGCATGCATCTTGATCCTTTTGACCCCACCGAAAGTATAAACCCATCCCCAATATATTCTCACCGCCCCCTTTGTTCACGCCTTTGCATGTCAAATCTTCCCCCTTACGACACCCCCATCCCCATTGAAATGACAGGAAAGATCAAATTAACGCATTTTGTGAATAAGTAATACCCTTCTCTAGAAACAAGACTCACTTCCTCTCAATTTTGTTTTCTTCGAATGTGGAATGGGTCTATGTAGTAACATCTTAGATACATTTAACCGGATTAGCAATGAGCCAATAAGCTTTTTGGTTCTTCAGTCTCAAAGTCAAGTTAGAGACAACTAGGGTCTTTTATATTTCACTGACTTAAAATTAAATTCTCCTTCTCTCCCGAAATTATTGTCTAATTTAATTTTTCATTTGTAATACCGAATAAACTAAAATGAAAATCCAAAATGAACAATATAAACTCTGATATACTACAACTTCGTCCTTTTCATATTAATAATTGTCTTTCCAAATGTTCAACTTTCAAGCATGCTTTGGATGATGTGATATATGCTTAAATTAAATTAAACAATCTTATTAGATAGAATCTACTTCCGTTAATTCGGTTTCTTTAATTGTATCCATAATGCCCATCCATTTCCGCGGTCAAACTGAATTCCCTCCAACCTGAAAAAGCAATAAAAAAAAACAAACTTATTAAATTAAAATAATTCACATCTTTTACCTGTTTACCATGACTTTATGTCTCTCACCTCTTTACGGGGCAAACAACCCCCAAAAGGAAAAAAAAAAACTTCACTCGAACTCTTCTTCTTCCTTTTCTCACTTGCTCAGTTATGGCCATTGTCCTTCCTCTTCCTCCCCATTCTCATTTTCCCTCTCTTTCTTTTTCCCTATTTCTTACTATTCCTCCATCATCTGCATTCCCATTTGATTATTCCTTGCTTTCATCATTATGGGTTACTTCTCGTGCAACGGGGAATCATCAATCGCCGCTTGTGATTCTTACAACTTTAATCTCGGCCCCAAAACTCCTAAACCCCATAAAACCCCTCAATCTCTAAACCAGATTATTGAATTTTCCTACTCCGATCTTCATTCCTCCACTAATGGTTTCTCCCAATCTCACCTCCTTGGAAAGGGGAGCCACGGCAGCGTTTACAGAGCTGACATCAGTCTCCCCCACCACCACCGCCACCGCCACCGTCAACTCATCGCCGCCGTCAAAAAAAGCAAGCCCACCAATCCCAATTCGACATTAAGTATCAATCCGGTTAATACTCCCACCGAGAATGAGTTTGAGATTCTGTCCCGGGTCCATCATCCCCGGCTGGTTAATATCCTCGGTCATTCAATCGATTCCAATCACAATAAATTGATCGTGGTTGAGTTTATGCCGAATGGGTCTTTGTTCGATTTGCTTCACGGGTCGTCCCAGCCGCCCGGTTGGACCCGGAGGGTCCGCTTGGCGGTGCAAGTGGCTAAAGCGGTTCATTTCTTGCATTCGTCCAACCCGCCGGTTATTCATCGGGATGTGAAATCGTCGAACGTGTTAATCGACGCGAATTCCAATGCCCGGCTGAGTGATTTCGGATTGGCTTTGAGAGGACACGTGGAGGACGTCCGGGTTAAGTGTACGCCGCCGGCGGGGACGTTGGGGTACCTCGATCCGGGTTATCTTGCTCCGGGTGATCTCAGCACCAAATCCGACGTGTTCAGTTTCGGGATTTTATTACTGGAGATTATCAGCGGCCGGAATGCTATCGACGTGAATTTCAGCCCGCCGTCGGTAGTGGATTGGGCGTTGCCGGCAATAAAGTCGGCGGATTTCGCGTCGATTTGTGACCCGAGGATTGGTCCACCGGAAGACGATGCGGCGCTAATGCAGCTGGCGTTGCTGGCGGCGAAGTGCGTGAGGGCGTCAGCGGCAAAACGGCCGACGATGGGGGAGGTGGTGGAGTGTTTAAAACACGTGTATAAAAGAGTGAACAACCCGATTTGGAACAATTTGGGTCGGCGCGTGGATTGCGTGAGAGACAGCAGTAAATATGAGCCGTTGGATGACGAGGGCGGCGGCGACGCGATCAAGGCCGTTAAAGTTGGTATTAGAAGGAACAGGAAAGTATCCAATGTGATGAGTAGTAGTATGGAGGAGTGGAAGAGAGATTTGTTGACTAATGGAATGAGCACGGATCGTATCGGACGGTCGAGATCGATCGGCTCATTCAGGGAGATTGAATTTGGTATGTTGGATTTGAGCAGTAATAGTAGTAATAATGTTGTTGGTAGGAGAAGAGGAGGAGGATTGGCTGTGAAGATGCCTACAGTAAGGTTGAGTAAGTCAAGATCAATGGGAATGTTGCAAAGTAGTACTTCAAGATTGGTGAATAATGATGTTAAAGTCAAGTTTTTGAAGACTCCAAATGCTAAGGAATTGGAAGAATCTAAATTGTTGAAAAAGGAAATTCAGAAGAATTGAATCCTCCTCTGTATAGAATTCTTGTGGCAAACTGAATTCTACCAAGAAAGCATATGTACTAGTAAAGTAGTATAGTACATGATGTATTCAACATTGAAGTGGTAGATGGATTCTTTCCCAACAACAGATTTCTACCAATTCATTAGATGGTATGTACCATAGTCCATTATACAACTCCAATTCTCAAATGTAAGCTTAAGCTATTGCAATCAAAACTATCAAATTGTCACATACATTTTGGTTGTGCCTTGTTTGGGCTTGCGGATTTTGCTAATGTTAATCAAATAGACAATTCCTAAAGAAACTCTTTTTTAAAAAGATAAATATGCGATGTGCGATTCGACAAGCTACCATTAGTTATACTTGTATCCTTTGACTTGAGTTATTCATCACCAGCCTCCCCACCAATTATGGGCCAACCTCAATTTCACAATGCTCGTTTCTTGGTCATCTTCGAATTTCAGGAAAAAAAAAATAAAAAAATTCAGATGAAGACAACCAAAATGCACGCCAAGAGATCCAAGTGTTCATTTGCACGTACTTCAAACATCAACGTCGACTATTGTCATTTGGAAATGTTTTGTCTCTCAACAGTTTGGATTGAAATGGCCTGAGGGAAGTTGGATTTTTTACTCAACAGAAGTATTAACAAGGTCATTGGAGCTTTTGCTCAGCAAAATCATCCTTTTGCATAAAGAATTTGGCTTTTGACATAATCCTCTGTTAGGGTGAGTTGTATTATTACTGAGTTACTTTATATTTGGTCACTTGGCAATACTTCACTCAAGGTTACTTTGTATTATACATTGTTTTGTATGTAGATTAAATAACAGATAATAAAAAATATTTTTTTCACTCAAAATAAAATTCTCTCTTCTTGATTGTGTCACCGTCCATTCTAGAAAACTAGTCCGCCTTGAAATATTGTTATGTTGATATATTGAATTATTTTGTTCGGTTAGGGGTTGTATCTATCTATTTAAACAAAACATTAAAGCAAAAAGAAAAATTATAAAAGATCCAAGTGATGCTTCAAAATAATTTGTACTTCCTCTGATCCTTATTATGATTTTTCATAGGTTTTATATAGTATATTTTTCCAATTGAGAAAAAAATTTAAAAATAGTACTTAATAATTTAGGAAAAGACAATAAATGTGAAAAATAATTTTTTAAAGTTTTTCTTTTAATAGAAAAAATATATTACGTAGGACAAATCAAAATGACTAATAATAAGAAGCATGTGGGGTAAAATTCACGTAACAGATGGAGGAAAGTAAAGGAAGCTTAGGGGTTAGATCAAGACAGAAAACGGCTGCTTATATATATAAACTATGAAGGGCGCGGTTAGTTAAGCTAGCTAATCCGTTTCAATAAAAGATTAAGTTAAGCTAATCAGGGACATTACTGGGCTGAATTTAGAACAGCTTCGGTCCTTGGGCTAAATTTTTTAAATGGACTCTCGAGAACACAAGTCAAAAGTTTCAGTCCCTAGATGTTGGGCTTCATTTGTGACAATGCTACTTTCTTTACAGTTAATGACTAATAAAAAAATTAAGTAATATTAGTTCCGTTTAAAAAAAATAATTCACATTAATTTTTGAGATATATACTTACATATAATATGCCGAATATTATTTTAATTTAACAAATGCAGACTCCTGTTTCGGAATGAAGAAGGTGATTCTTTTTATCAGTATTATTACAAGAGTTTCGCCTGATAAAATATGGGATGTTCACTTATTTCATCACCGAAGGAAGAAGATGACGCAGAATGGGGAAGATGGAATTATTGTTTTGACGAGGGTTTCAATTTCAGCGTCTCTCACTCTTCCCAAAGGTAATGTCTTGGTTGGTCAATACAACCTAAATTGCATACCTTCTATGTATATTGTAATGCCTTTGTGATGAGACTTCCGAAGGCCGAGAAAAAAAAAAAAAAAAAAAAACTTGGACTTTTAAGATTCATGAATTCAAAGTTCATCAGTTTTGAGAGCTTAGTTCGTTTAAGCGTACTCTAAATACGATTTTCCCTAGCCCCTTTTTTAAGGTAACGCAGCTGAGTACCGTACGTATCACAATTTCAGAAGTACTAACTATCGTCTTTGGACCAGCACGTGGCTTAAAGTTCACGTAAGTGGGAATTTAGGTTTACGTACGTCTTAATCTCTGTCTTAATGCACGATCTGCTTAGTTCATGCATACTCATACTCTACTTTGTTGCTAATTGAGTATTGACTAGGAGCGAACAACTTTAAAAAACATCCGTCAAAACCTTTGCCCTTCGTGTTAATCTCTCACCAATTTCGCGCTCCGGTTCTAATTATATTATAAATCACTGATTATAAACAATGCTCCTATCAAATCCTTGTATGGCCCAGAAAAATTGAATGTAGTCAATATTCCGCCCTGATAAACAATCTTAGCAACAAAACCAGCCATGTTCAAACTTCCAACATGCACATAATAATAGGTACAGTGAAAATTGACAAGCTGATTGGGGTGGAAAAGTCGAAAGCAGCTGGCTGCTCTGGAAAACCTTAAATGCAAAGATTGATATGGATCCAAAGTCATCGAGCAGCTATTTTTTTGCATGGTTTGCCAAGGATGTGGATAGGTAGACAAGACCATGTAGACAGAACGGACCATTTAATTTACGAGGAGAACAGTAGCTCATATAAAAGAAGAAAACAACAATGAAAGAAAATTTTTGATACAAAATGAGCTCTTCTGTCGGAAATTTTTCTTTTGTTTTGAGTTTTATTATCATATAAAGAGGCGATCCAAAGAGCCCACATGTTTCAAACCCTCCCCTCAAAAATCCCTTATCCCGACAGCTTCTTCATTGTACTAGTCTTTCTCCAACATCTCCCATCTCACATTGTCCACTCCCTCCCCATTTTTTTCTTTCTTTCCAGTTTGCTCCCACACACACACACACACACACAAGAGATTCATTCCCCTCACCTGGACTACACTTACTACTCTTCCTGATGTCCTCTTTATATATTTTAAACAGTTCGATCATTGCATACAACAGGAATTAATTTTGATTAGCAGAATCTGAGGTTACAAGATCTAAGAGAGATGTGGTAAGATACATGAAAAGATTGTGCAGGACTGAAGTATTTGGTATAAGATGTGGTAGTATTAAAAAAGTATTTGACCCAGGTAAATTATTTTATCAAACAAAAGCCATGTCTGTTTACTTAGGGAGAGGTGTTGGGAACTGGAAGCATGTAATAAGGACAGATACATTTGTCAAATTATTTGGATCACGTGACGTTTGTAGTATACATACATTGGTAAAGAATCAGTCAATTGTAGTATAGCACAGTTACTACCACTGACCGGCTTCAGAAGGAGGGGGGGAGTGAAGGACCAAAACTTTTCTATTTATATCTGTTAAAATTTCTGAATACTATTACTAACAAAAGGATTGCCCCAAGATAATGATTGATGAGAGATAAGAGTTATATTTCAGGGGAGATAACTATTTGTGGTAGTAAATTCATGGTGGTATACAAGTTATTTCCTTCTTCTTCTTTCTGTTCCGATTGTCATGTTTATTGTATTACTCGACAATCATTTCAAAACGGAAAAACGGAAAGAATGTAAAATTATATAAACTTGTACTTTGTCCAAACTAGAAAAGTTCAAAGAGAAAATCGCAAGGGGAAGTGTAGGGAAATTTTAAAAAAAAATAAAAATACGACAGTTACGGACGTTTGTGAAATATGCAAAGAAACTGAAGTCTCAGTGGGGGGGAGATTGAGAAATGGGGAAGAGATAAAAGAGTAGCCAAAATTGGAGAGCATGTGGAAGGAGAGAAGATGACAGATGGTGGGATTGTACTAATTTTGCAGCCTTTGCATGTCAAACACGTACTGAAATTTTTTTTACTCAGCACAAAACCAGCATTAATTCACAGCGTACACCATTTATCATTCTTCATCGACATATCACACTTTGAACGCAGTCTATGCTTTAATGTGGGGTGGGAGGAGAGTAAATTAAGGAGACTTGAATGTAACGAAGGCAGTACATGTAAATTAAACAAGTGAAATATAAAAAAGAACAAACAGTTGAATTATGAAGCTAGAATTAGTCCATGAAAATGGTCATCTTAAACTGATCATCATCCTCAAATTCATCACTAAAAATTAAAAGAAACCAATGGATAAACCCCCTGAAAAGATCTAAAGCTGAAATTAAAGGTCAGATTAGGGATCCCTAACGTACAAAGTCTAAACCATTCTAAAGTCTCTTGAATCTAATCAGACCAACCTTTTGTAACACACCAAAAGAAGCAAAGACCAATTGATCTCTTCCTCTTCCACTTCCATTTTCTCCAACCCAAATATGTCGTCATCATCACATGTAATAAACCTTACAAAAATTTCCTCAAAATGCCGCACATTTTCCTCCCTCATCATCATCATCATCAAAAAAAACTTAAAAGGGAAAAAAAGAAAAAAGAAGGGAAACAAATTTAGGGTTTTTTACCGAGGGTGTGTTTATTGTTGTGCATCCAAACCTTGAGGACGTGGCGCCTCACATTAGTCTCAGCACAAAACTGTTGAACCAAAGCCTCATCTTGCTTCTGGATACGCCACCCCAGCCTCTCCGCGAATCCCAACATTTTCTCCTTTTGCTCCGGCGTGAACTTTGTCCTAAACCTCTTCTTAGACCCTCCTCCGGCGCCACCACCGCCACCGCCACTCCCTCCTCCTCCTCCTCCGCTGCTGCTCGGGTTCGACATGTCTTCATCCTCCCTGGAAGTCGACGGCAGCGCCAAAGGCCGGCTTGGCGGCGTCATGTGGAGGTAACCTGATGGATGAGGAGACCGGAATGAGTAGGCCGCCGCCGAGGAGAAATTCTGGTGGTGGGTGGAATGGTGTGGGTTGTGGGGGTGGTGATGGTGGGATGGTGGATGTGGGCGGTGGAACCCTTCTCCCTCCGGTTCCTTCCGGTGGAAATTCCGGTGACAGTTGCAAGCGGCACATTGGAGTGATTCTAGGGTTCCGTCTTCTCCGGCTGCCATAAACTCCCCACAGCCATCCAGCGCGTGCCCTCCAATCCCCACCGCGTGATTCTTTAAGCATTCTCTGTATCTGTAAGTGGTCGTCGTTGTTCCTCCACCTCCGCCACTTCCTCCGCCGCCAGCACCACTTCCGCCACCGCCTCCGCCTCCACCTCCACCTCCGCCGCCGCCACCAACGTTTTTCCTAGCTGAAGCCGCAGCTGAAACCCCATCTCCGCCTCCTCTTCCGGAACCCGAAATTGTTTGATGATTCCCAGTTTGCATTGGATGCATCTCAATCTCTTCCTCTTGTTCTTCATGCTCCTCGTCAAAATCCATTCTTTCTTTCTTTTCTTTTTTTTCCTTTTTCTTCCCCCTCTTTTAGCTCAAGGTAGAATTTTGATTTTTTTGACAAAAAGCCCTCTTAAGAAAACATGGTTTTAGTCAATTGTTGTTAAGAGGGAAGAAATGACAGTGAGAGGGAATAAATTAAGAACTAAGGAAGAAAAAAAAAAAAAGATCTGCTAAATCATTATTGATGATGATGATCAGCTGAAGATCCAAGAGAAACACACAGGAAGCAAAGTGAGATTTAGTGAATTGAGTAAAGATTATGGTTTAACAAAGTGAATATATTTATAATAATAAAATGTAAAAAATAAAAATAAAAAAAAGGTAGAGAAAGATGTATGGGGAAATTGATTAGTGATGGGGGGATGATGATCAGAGAAGAAGATAAGAGGAAGAGGAGGGTGTGGACAACAATTAACCCAAGCTCCCTTTGCCAGCCTTCTTCTTCTTCGGCAAAAAAAATAAAAATAAAGATTAATAAATGTTTTGTGAGACTTTGCTACAAATGTAAAAAAAATTTTGATTCTTTTTGAGAGTTTGTTTTGCTTTTGTTTTTTTCTCTCTCTCACACACATTCATTTCATTCATTCAATTCATTAAAAAGAGATTAATTTGGGGCTAATACTATGAACTGTGTGAAGTTGACATATTACATCATCACAGCATCAGTCTTCTTTTTTCTTTTGGTATTTATTGTGTTCTTTGTTGTTTTGTGTTGTGTGGTTATCACAATTCGCTTAATTTGATGAGCTTTTTTTTTGGTGTGTTCTAAACGGGTAGTAAATATTGTGTGCTCCCTCGTGTGTAACAGACGCTGTATCCACGGTTTTTTCGCTTCTAACTTTGTATTTGTTCGGAGAGTTTTGTCTTATAAAAAAATAAATACATATTACTTGAATCTGAATTAATTAGACTAACAGTATTGAATGTCGATTGCGTAATCTGTAGTTAAAAAATTAATAAAAAGAAAAGATTTACTTAAATCTAGATTAGTTAGACGAACAGTATTTGAATGTCGATTATGTAATCTGTAAGTAAAAAATCAAAAAAAAAAAAATTATTTGTTCGAAGAATTTTGTCGAAAAAAATGAATATTACTTGAATTTAGATTAATTAGAGTAACAATATTGAATACCAATTGCGTAATATGTAGGTAAAAAACCGATAAAGAAGAAAAGAATATTTGTTGGTATGCTTAAGAGGCTAAAAGCTTGATGAGGCTGAAATTACTTTTCAGTAATTAAGCATGAGAATGGAAAATAAAGAGATGGCGTGTCTGTCTCAAAGGTACTGTGGTCACTGCTCTGACCCTCTGACGTCTCTCCTTTAATTTCTAAAGCTGGATTTCTGTGGTTTTTATGGGTTCTTTTAGAAAAATAAAAATACAAATTCTTTGAAGATAATCTTGGTTTTGCGTCATCTATATTTAGCATTATACTTTCTTATCTGATGATACAATTTGTGGTTTTGTTAATGAAAACAACACTCATCGGTTTCAGCAAGAAAATTAAGAATATGATATCTCGCTTTGCTATTTTAAGCACGAGTAATGATATTCATTTAACTTTATCCATATCAGAAATACGGTTCAAATATCTGTATCGAACGGTCATATTTTCTTCAATGTTCTTTACCGTTGACTCGAATTATCAAGTTCAAATGCATTGATTGTTTGAAGGTTTGAGCAATCGGCAATTTTCAAATTTCAATTCATCTAGCGTCAAAAATTATTAAAGGCTTCTTATTTTCAAATATTTTCTACTTAATTAGATTACATACATGTTCCTAGAAAACTAGTCAATTAAAGTATGCAGTCAACAGGTTACATTATTGTGCTTTTTGTAACATCGAATTATGCTGAAAACAACCTTGTTTTGACAAAATCTGATATACCGGTAGATTGTGTGAAAATTGCTAAAATTTTGTTGGAGATTCTTACTATCAGGTTTTACTAGCTATCATATTTGCTGAAGTTTTGTGTGTTTAATGTAAGATGGAAACTCTTTGCATCCAAAATAAATACACTTTCTGTTCCAAATAAGATAATTATTTTAGAATATAATTTTTTTTTTTTAAAAAAAAGAAGAAGCTGAATCGTTGTAATCTAATTCTAACTGGAGGTTTGCATGGAGGAGGGATTTATCGCCTAATCTTCTCGGTCGACGGTCGTCTACATTTCTCGTTATGAAATGCATCTGATCATACTATCAAAGTATTACATTTTCTGTTGGACGTACTTTAATCTTTTTATATCAAATAGTATACTACTTATATTCTACTATACGATGGAATTCGTCGAAAAAGATAATCATTTACATGGTAAAAATCTAAATTATTATTTCTTGTTAATATCAATAAAATGCTGCTCTAAACTTGTAATTCTCACTAGCAAATAGACAAGATACTATCACATTCGAGACAATATAAATTAAGGTAAAAAACGCTTTCGGAAGCATAGTAGAGCAAGAAAAAAGAAGTAGTTTAATTTCAAAATCATGTTTATTGATTTAAATTATTACAATAAAGAAAACTCTTGAATGTAGAGACGAATTTTTCAAATTTGAGAATGAACATTCACCGAGCCCGACTTGTAGCTAGCTATAGATTCATTTCTAATTTTGGATAGCCAGCAAGCATGCCTTTGAATAGTTGGGCTATAAGATATGACAAAAAAATTCATCAAAACAACAGAATATCTGAAACAGATTCCAGTTGATCGTCTTTATTTTTCTTGAGAAAAGGGATGGCAAAAGAATGTAAATTTCTGAGTGCTCATCATCACCAAAAATACACACACACACACACACACACTGAGAGAGAAACACAACTGGCATGAAAATGGGGTCTCTTTTGGGGGTTTGGGGCACGACTCCTTCATCAGAACAAGTCAGAGAACACAGTAGAAAGAGCAGCCCCAAAATGGCCCCAAAATCAAGTCAAGAAGAAAGAAAGAGTGGCCACTGGCCATACCACATATATATGATGTGGGTCGTCTCTACTACTCCACGATTATTTGAATGATTGTGAATCCGAAAAGACAACAGTTGTGACTAGAGGTTTTCTTTCTTTCTTTTTTTTTTTTTTTTCTTTGGGTTTCAAAAGAAGAAATATTTCCCTTTTTTTAATGGTTTAATTTTCGGAAACCGATGAGATGTAAGTTAGGGTTTGAGGGAACTTGTCGGAGTTGGTTGCCACTACCCTTTCTACGTATCCCTCCGACATTAAGCACCTCATCAACTCCCCAGTAGTAATTGACCAAATCTCTCCCCCGCGAAGCCAAAAAAATAAAAAAAAAATTAAAAAAAAAAGCTTCAACTTGTATATGATTGATCAGTAGTCCAGCGAATTTGTCGTGGAAACCTATTACTTGTTATTCAGTTTAAGAAAGGAAAGTCCACTCAAATTATCACTTGTTAATTTTCTTCATAGTTGACACTATACAGGAAAAAAAGAAAAACAAAAATGTTTCGGGTTTTCGCAGAAAGATCATTTGCGTTTTATTAGCTAATACCTTAGGGCATTTGGTACCAAAATCTACGTCACTGGCATTATTGATACGCCATTATTAACTGTAAAGAACGTAACACAAGACTCTTGATAAAATTAGTGATTGTATTAATTTGAATGTCAAAAATTTTCAGAAAAAATATACCAGGGCTAAAATAATCCTAAAGGAACTATATATAAAATTTCGGGTTTTTTACTGTTTCATATTATTTCAATCATGTTATTTATAGAGTTTCACCCTATTGTACAAAACACATACTTCTACTCCTCGAAAATTATTGTCCATTTTGAATTTTTATTTGTAATACAATTATTAAAAATAAAAATCTAAATTGGATAATTATTTCAATATAAAAAAGTACTTAAAAACTAAATAGAGAAAATATGGCAAATCACCCGATAGAAGTCATTTTGGAATATATTGATCATCATATATCGACTGATTCATGATTAGACGTTTTAAGTTGAATTTAAAATTGTGATACAGACCTACTCAATTAGTCAACCAAAAAATTTGCAGTTTAACTCAACAAAAACCTTTGACGCATATTCTACACTATTGCTGAGATAGTGATTAGTGAAATCGGAATAGTTCATCCCTGCTAGGCATATGTAGGGTTTTTTTCTTTAATCGTGCAATCCAGGTTTTTTAGCTCAAAATCTAACATGGTAACCTGGCCGTATTGGCTAGTTAGAGAGATCACTCCATCCAGTACTCCATACAAGACATTTTGATTTATTCCAAATTTCAGCTATTTTGTATTTTAAGTGAAAATTTTTTAAAAAAATATATTTTTACATTTGTTGTGTTCTCTTGATTGTTAGTAATTTTTTTTTTGTTAACTAAAAATGTATACTAGTTGAAACCTATAACAATTCAAAATGTCTTATATTAAGAATGAGAAAGAGTACATTACAGGATGAAAAATATGTTGCCTCTAACCCTAATACATTAAACCCTAAACTAGGTTACTGTTTCTTCCGGCAGTTGATTTCTCGCTGTTAACAAAGTCAAAAAAATGTGCCACAAAATATACATGTACGATAAGTTAACACATTTGAATTAAATTTGCCCAATCACTAGATAATAACTTTGCAATACCTCCCTTTCAAAAAAAACAAAAAAAAACAAAACTTTGCAATACCTTCAAAGAGACAAATATTATAAATTTATAACCACATTAACATTTCTACGCACGCTTTTATTATCAGCTTGGGGCGAATACCTTTCTTTTTCTCCTTTCTCCCAAGCCAATGGCAGTCATGTATAGGTGTTTCAGTTATATATATATATATATATATATATATAGCATATTATATTAGGTAATGCTGGAACAGGTAATTTATCAGGTAGAGAATTAGTTTCACCTTTAATATATTCTATATCAAAATCGAAAACTGAACGAATGGTTTACCATCTAGCAAAAATTTGCTTTGAAGAAAAATTTTTGATCTTGTTCTAATACATATTTAGCGCTTTGACAGTCAACTCTAATTATGAACTTTTTGTTTAATAAATCTGCTTGTAATTTAGACATACAAAGTACTATGACTAAAATTTCTTTTTTAGTAGTAGAATAATTTTGTTGTGTATCATTTCATCGTTTAGATGTATATGACATAACATTTTTTCTTTTTCATTTTGTTTTTGTTTAAGTATTACTTCATATCCAAGATAACATGCATTCTCTACTATTTTTAATGCTAGAGGATCAGTTATATGTATATATATATATATATATATTTATATATCATACTATATATTAGCCCATATAATAGAGTGTTAGAAAGTTTGACATGTCCATGATGAATCCAAGGAGGAAAGTTGATTCAAACTTCAAATCCAGGAGCGCGTGGGAAGGGGAGTGGGCGGGAGAGAGAAGAATGCGGAGAAAAGGGAACAGAGATGTTGACAAGTCGAGTAAAGGAGGACTGGGTGTGTGTGGGGGTCGTCGTCTCTCGGACCTTTGTTTGATTCCCATTTTGCCCACTCCCTCTCTCTTTTCTTTCTGCTTGCAGCCTTTTGGCTTTTGCGCTCCTCTCATCCTCCTCACTGAATTTATTTATTTATTAATACTATGTATAAATTAAAACTAAAAAATTCATCGGTGTTGTTGGTTAATTGAATATGGAATGCCAATAGATTTCACATTTTATTTTATTTTTGAATCCACTGATTGGAATTGAACCACCATTTCTCTGAATACTCTCTCTGCATCGTGTGGCCTCTTCTCCACCACTAAAACCCTCAGTCTTACCACCTCCCCGGCGCCCCTGGTCCGGTCTGGTTCTGCAAAGTGGGCCCTAATTACCACCATTCACATCCCCCCTTTTGAATACGAAATTCAAACTTGTATAGACTTGTACAAAGTTGAAGTTTACGTGTCCAAAAATTATTGTCTCGTTTGAGTTACCAGAGTAATTAGGTATAATGGGTTTTCTTTTTTATTTGAAATAATGCATTTGTGCGGGAGAAAAAGAAATTAATGAAAGAAAGGGTTTTGCAAGTGAGCATTTGTATATACAAGTAGGGTTTCTAAAAATCTAGGTAAAGATTTGCATCATGATAGGGATCCAAAGCTCATCCCTATTCATTTTCATGTGTGGTCGATACTTGGATACGATGTACATACATTTGTCCACCTACGTCCCATGAACAACCCGACTCAAACCTCCAGGGTCCTCTCTTTCAATGTTGGTATAATATAGGCCTAGCTACCTAGCCTTCGGACCACCTTTGATCATGTGTTGAGACGTTAGAGTCCTCTAGTTGACTTACGCAAAGTTGAAAAAATCCAAGCTACTGAGAAGTACGTACTACATAGTAACGGTACACAGTAACTAGTATAATCCCATTGATAATTGTGTAATATAATTCGTATGTAGTTAACCCTAATTTGTATTTGCATTTGATATTGCTCTAAAATTGGGATCAATTTCTTTTGGCGCGCCACTGTGTGATTCAGTATGCATGCTTGTTGTCTAGTTTTTTTTCTTTTTTTTTTTGGTTAGGGAGAATATTGAGCTTAAAGAGTTTACACAATAATACGTCTTGGATAGGCTATACCTACTACATCGTGGTATAGCTATCCTATATAGAGCAATTGGCGGTGGCGAATCCAGTCATGTAAGACTTCTTGGATTCGTTTCCACAAGAGAAGTTTAAAAATTAGCAACAAAATTACGCTCTTTATGAATGTGCCTAAACTGAACCGATTTCAAAAGTTCCCTAAAAGCTCTCACCAGGCTCTCATGAGCGCACGACGGCATTGTAGATCATGTTAACAATGCTTTGGTTATCAGCTTATGCTTCCAGCATTCTGTAGCCTAAATCCCAAGCCAAGCTTAAATCTTGATATAGTCCCCACAGTTCCGCTCCCAAAATCGAGCAATATCCTATGTTCATGAGGAATCCTAAGTTGTTGTCTAGTTAAACGTTAGAGCCCAAATCATACTTTTAACTATTGAGGTTTTAAACCGTCCAAGTCACTATTCATGAATATTACTAATTTTCATTTATAGTATATGAAGACTCTTAATGTTCATAATGTGCTAGTTCCGACCTCAAGGTGTCAAAGGAAATTCTAACCCAAAAGACACATGATCAAGCAATGCGTGTAATTTTTATTTTTTATTTTTTGGTTTTTTTGGGGGAGGTGGTGGTAAATCAATGCATGTAATCATTCTTCAAGCTCATACCCTCTCATTTTGTGGCAAATCATATGTACTCCTTAGTCCTTAGCCCCTATGCCCTCTCAAATGTGGGTATCTTTAGGTTGAAAACCTTGACCTTTTCTCCTTTGGGATCTCTATCAAGTGTGTGTACTCAACCTAACCAGTCCCCCTTCCCCCCCTCCCCACCACAAACCCTCCAAATATGCAGCATATCGTCCTCCCAAGATTGCCTGGTCCCCAAACTACTGATGAATAAATTTTAGAATCCTTTTCCTTATCATGACCTTTTTGAAATTCTCGTCACGTGAACCACACCTTCTTCAATCCCTTCTTCCTCCATTTAATCTAGAGTATTCCTGTCGAGAACAGCATTTGATCGCTCTGCTAAGTGGAAGGATTTCAATGGTTGTTAGTCTAGAGTATTCTCTATCGACAACAACATTTGATCGATCTCCTAACCAAAGGATTTAATCCAGCTTATGCCCGGAGTAAGATTTGAAGTAGTACCACTAAATAACATTTGGTTCATTCAATCATTTTTAGAATTACCAAAGAAAACCACTACGGAACTAGTCTGTCGGACGGACCACTGATTCATTGGGCTCTGGTATATCCAGGCCCAATGCATGTGGCTTGTTACAGAGCACTACGGCTTATGCCTGATTCCGGCATGTCACCTACCGGTCAACATCGAACTGGACAGAAAAATGATCGAAACAGTGAAATAAGACCAAAAAAGTATAAAAATATAATATTTAGGACTACAATATTAAAATGTTAATGTTAGAGTAAAATCAAGTAAGCCCAAATGTAAGGAACCATTTAGACATGTGTAACTGACAATACTTGTTCAGTTGTTCACTGCATATTTGACCAAACCAACATTCAACAATAGAGATGATTTACAGATAACCCACAACACCTTAGATAGGACCCAATGTAGCTAAGCCCTCGGGCTTCTTCCAACATATATAAAAAAAAAAATTAAAAAAAAAAAATAATCCACAACACCTATAATTCATTCGTACACAATAAGAATGAGCAGTATGTGTATACATTACTAGAAAGAATTTCGCACCATAGCTAACTTATGATACTGAAGGATGCACAGAATCTATCCCCGAGTACGGGGTAAAGGTGAAAACAAGCGACCAAATTGTTTATCTACAAACCGGGAGGCAAACATGCTGAACGAAATGTGCTGATTACTAATGACGACCCTCCAGAATACCTTTCAGATTTTTCACTGCACTATCGTAGTATACAAATCCCATGAACCAAAATTCGTGGTTATCAACAGAGATAATCTGGATGAACTTTTCAGCCGCATTTACTTTGCTTACTGAAGGATTGACTGCTTTCAGTTGCTGTAATGGGAGGACCACCTGTTTCCAGTGAAAGGTAGTCCGCCATCATTCATCAGATTGAGGAGTTAACGTGGAATGAAATAAATCTCAATTATAACATCCAGAATTTATGAGCAGAAGAGGAGGTTACTGAGTCCACAAGAGGTAGCAAAAGGCCAACATGAAGAGTGCTCTATGAGCTGCATCTCTCCGAAAAGAGAAGGTACACATAGAACTCCAAATCACAAAAATAATGGAACTCTAATTGGCATGTTATGAATACTAATCATGCAATGAAAGATATGAAAAACATCCTAACGAATGCAAGTTCAAAAGGTTCTCCAAACAAAGATTTCACAATATAGCAACCTCTACAAGAACATTTTAACTTTGATCTCCATAAGAACCCAACTAAATTAATAAATTGGAAGGCATATTTCAGAAAGCACGCTGGTTGAAATGCCAAAGAAATCATGCAATACCAACACAAATTTTCAAAGTGCTGTCATGAATGAGTTTGCTAATCAAAACCCACATTCATCTGAAAAGCGTAATTCAACCCAAGGGATAAAAATACGAAAATAACAAAAATCACCAACATTGAATGGAGAAAATCCTGAAGCGAGAAAGCATACCTTGTAGTAACTCCATTGAGTTTCTTCACCAACTTTATATGAAAGAGGATTATCACTGCAAAATGCAAGCTTCAAACTTGACAGGTACAGGACTCCCATGACAGGACCAGCAGATGTAGACAGGTAACATGCATAGTACTTCAGAAGTTTCTCTTCTGGAGAAGTCTCAAAAGATTGCCTGAATACTTTCTCATACCCACCTTCGGCGAAAGCCTTCGTACCCTGAGCTATCCTTCCAACAGCAGCATCAGCCAAACTGGGGCCAGTTTTCACTATTGCCAATGAGAGAGAAAAGTTTTACGTTAGTAATGAGGGTATATAACCAACAATAAATTAAACAATGTAGCAAATACGTTTGCTTAGAAATAAATCAAGAATGAACAGTTAGTTAAATCATCAACACACCAAGAGATTATAGCCTAAACTGAAGGAAAGCGCTCGTCAGATTTTCAGAAAAACACCAGATTACCACAAAAAAATAAAGCCTCATACTACTAGGAGTAAAAACGTTACACAAGCAACAGAGTGGATAACCACAATTTTGAAACTTTTCAGGAACAAAGTAGCACAGGGAGACTGCTGCAGAAAAGGGGTCAGAGGAAGACATTTTATCCTCTGACTCTCAAAAACTAGAAGAAGATCAAAAGCTAAAGCTTACAAGTACCGCTAAGGAAATATTAAAGTTTAGTGCTACGAATTTGAGAAGCACTCTCCAATATTCTGAACTCACAAGTATCATGAATACGCAAACAGCAAATAATGCATAAAAAGTCCTTTCCAATATATATATCTTAACTAATTTAAGCACAAGTAGTTCATCACAAAACATAAACTTCACAGTAGATATTTGTCAAGATAAGTACAAGTACAACCTCTTTAATCAGTTCATTAACTTCTTAAAATGCAATACAATAAAAGAAAACCCAGGTACAGAGCTTTGTTCCCATTTCCTCTAATCCACAAGAGCTTGCAAGTTCCATTGGCAAGAGTAAACAAATGAACATTTAAAGGAAAATCGAAAGCTTGAAACATAAACAAAAAAGCCAAGTATGATAAGACTTACAATGCTGCCACATATTCCCAGCCAAATCTTGACCCTTCTTAGTCGCCTCTGCTGCCTTCTTTCCCCACTTACCCAAAGCATCTTTCACGGTATCCATTGTATCTACAACATTACCAACAAGAAATTAATGGAAATTCATATAAAAAGCACTGTGAAGTGGGAAAATCAGAAATTCAATCATAATTAAACCCCGTTCCAAGAATTGATCACTGATCAACCCTTGAAAACTAAAAAAAAAAAAATAAAGCAACTCAATACTACATAAACTGATACTAACTCTTGACAGAAGAACCGGGACCACGAGCGGGAGCAGGGGAGACGTAGGGATTGGATTCAGCAGGCATGGAAGTTGCAGGGGAGCCGGAGATCGGAGCAGCCGGAATTTCCGACGACGTGGGAGCAGAAGGGGGTGTCGGCGGCGATGAAGCTCGGTGGGGATCCGACCCAGTAGCAGGCGGAGGCGGGTTCACATCCTTGAGGTCGATTGTCGGGTAGGGAGCATAGTCGGCAGAGTGATGAAGGTCGTCGGGTTTCGAAGCCTGGGTTGAATCCGAAGGTTTTGGGGTTGGGTTAGACTCCATCATCAGGGTTTTCAAGGAATTATATGAATTTGAGTTTGATTGATTGATTCGTGTATTCCTATGAAGCAGCTTTGGGGGATTCAGGAATTAGGATGATTCTTTGTTTGTTTGTGATGAACGAGAAGCAGAAGGTTTATAGAGGAGACAAATAAACGGCTAAAACGCGGAAGAGGGTCTTTTTCTCCGATTGATTTCTGATGTCAAAAATGAAAAATGTGGATTGATTGATTTCTTGCTCTTCGCAACTTCGAACGTTGACTCTCCACGTTGCAGCTTTCGGTCAATTTCTTAACTCTAGTGATTTCACATTTTGTTATTCTATATATATACTAGTGATGTCTGGTCGCGCAATGCGCGACCCTGGCCCAGTCTATCTGTAGATCTTAGAAATGTTTATATTTGGAAAAAAATAAAATTTTGTATTTGGAGCGATATATTTTAGAAATATTTGAAGGATTTAGAAATGTTTTATAAGTGTGATCATAGAAATATTTGTATTTCGCAAAAAAAAAATAAATTGTATTTCGCCATGTATGTTTTAGAAATATTTTATAAGCGTTACTTATTAAATATAAATAGCCTTAATCGAATATATGTGTTGAAGTAAATGTTAGATAAAATATAAAAGCATCCTAATAAATTTAAATATTAGTAAGATGATTTATTGATGTTCTCCATTGGTCGTGCCAAATCAATACTTAGTTTTGGAGATTTTTAATAGTTTTGTAATAAGTTTCATCCGAAGGATATACGCTTAAAACAAAATTGACACTTTATAACAAAAAACTTAATTGATCAATTCAATTTAAAAAACCACTCTAGTTGAAAGAAACATAAAGAAAAATTTTTTAAAAAAAAAAACATGTAACATAAAGTGCAAAGGGAGATTTAGTAATTTTGTTATGGTTAGATAAAAGGGCAATTTAATACTTTCTACATGCCACGTGTTTGAAAGGGAGGTTTTTGTTTCTAATATAGTAGGATATGTGTTTTTTTTTTCAAAACTACTCTCTTTTGATCATATGTTAGTTAGAGTAGTGATAAGTAGAGGAAAAAAATGACAATTTACGAGGAATGGTGTGTCAAAAATCAAAATTTGATCATAACCTTAAATACTTAAACCCCGTATGAAAAATTTTTAAAATGAACAGGTAAGATCATTTTCCTTGTTATTTTTTTTTGTATTTTTTTCTTGTACCTATCATTATTCTGTTAATTATTTGATACTTATTTTATCGAATCGCTTGGAGATGGGTTTTTTTTTTTTTCAGATGGATATTGATGTAAGGTCACATAATTAAGAATATATATGTATATATGTAAGATCACCTTGATTCATGAAAACTTGCACACTCCTTATGTTTTTTTTTCAAACAAGAAGAAAAAAAAAAAAAAAAACCTCATGTTTGGCACACTCAAACAGATCGATTATTGTATTCGTTCAATTCGATTTGCATTTGGAACTTTTACAATGCGAAAACTAACCACAAAAAAAAAAGAAAAAAAACAAACAAAATTTACAATATACGGCTCTTCAAATGTGACAAATGATTTATGTAATGGTATCTCTTTTGATTGTACTCAAACAGTCAAACTGTGCATGTTGCCGCAATTATCAATGGGATTATGGATATGAGATGGCTACATTGAAATGGCTGAAATTGAGTATACATAAACACCAAACTGGAATCTAAGAAGTCCAACATTTGTCCAAAATAAGTTGTAATTTTCTTGTTATTTGGATATTTTGATGGGCAAAATCCTCGTTGAAGGTAAGCTTGAACTCCACAGTTAGTGGCCTAGGAATTTCAGAATACATCTCTGAGATTGACAGATAATTAACAAGATTATATTTGTCAATGGAATCAATCCTTCATTTCTCTTTATCAACGAAACTGTTTGATACAAACTTTCATGCAAACTTCAGACGAAAGAAGATGGCAACCGACAACGATTCACCACCACAACCACAAGAAGTACTCCCCAAAGCCACCGCCACCACCGGCTCAGAAACATCCAATAAACTCACCCTAATCCCACTCATATTCCTCATATATTTCGAAGTCGCTGGCGGGCCTTATGGAGAAGAGCCGGTGGTAAAAGCAGCAGGGCCTTTATTAGGCATCCTTGGATTCATCATCTTCCCATTTATTTGGAGCATCCCAGAAGCCCTGATCACAGCAGAGCTCTCCACCGCTTTTCCGGGCAATGGCGGATTTGTCATCTGGGCTGATCAAGCTTTTGGACCCTTTTGGGGATCCCTCATGGGAACTTGGAAATTTCTAAGTGGTGTAATTAACATTGCTGCCTTTCCTGCTCTTTTTGTTGATTACCTCAAAAATCTCTTCCCTGTTTTCTCCTCTGGCGTTCTTAGATACTTGGCAATCTTAGTTTCAACTGTACTACTTTCTTTCCTAAATTTCACTGGTGTAGCTATAGTTGGTTATGCAGCTGTAGCTCTTGGGATGATTTCTCTGGCCCCTTTTGTTGTAATGTCTTTAATAGCGATCCCGAAAATTCGATTTCGTAGGTGGATTGATTTAGGCCAGAAAGATGTCAAAAGGGATTGGAATTTGTACTTCAATACTCTGTTTTGGAATCTGAATTTTTGGGATAATGTTAGTACTATGGCAGGGGAAGTAGACAACCCTCAAAAGACTTTTCCTTTAGGACTTCTTTGTGCTGTGGTGTTTACTTGTTTCGGTTATATAATCCCTCTTTTAGCTGCAATTGGGGCTGTTTCTGTGGATCAAAGAAAATGGGAAGCGGGATTTATGGTGGATGTTGCGGAAATGATTTCAGGAAAATGGCTCAAAATTTGGATTGAAATTGGGGCTTTTTTGTCAGGAATTGGACTGTTTGAAGCTCAATTGAGTAGCTGTGCGTATCAGTTTGAGGGAATGGCTGATATTGGTTTCTTGCCTGAGTTCTGTAAACTAAGGTCAAAATGGTTTAATACACCTTGGGTTGGAATAGTTTTGTCAACTGCCATTTCGCTTGCGGTTTCTTGTATGAGCTACACATCCATCATTTCTACTGCAAATTTCTTGTACAGTTTGGGGATGCTTTTGGAATTTTCATCATTCCTTTGGTTAAGGTGGAAATTTCCGGCTTTGAAACGGCCGTACCGGGTGCCGATCCGTCTGCCGGGGATGGTGATTATGTGCTTGATTCCATCGGGATTCTTGGTGTTTATTATGGCTATAGCTACTAAGACTGTGTATCTGATGAGCGGGTTGATGACTGCTGGTGGAATTGGATGGTATTTCTTTATGAAGGTTTGCAAGTCTAAGAAATGGTTCAATTTTAGGGATTGTTACATTGAGGAAGACTCATGAAAAGACAATGGTTGATTTTATGTGATTTTGATCTCCATGCATGCATGTAATTAATGTTAGTGTGTGTGGCTTGTATACATGTACCTTGCCCTGATTGAGGAAGACGTGCTAATTCTTTCAGCCAACAATGTGAAGTGAGAATGAGAGATCTAACGTTGTAATGCGACACCGGACATATAAAAGTAGATGAATATTTTGTGAAAATAATTATTACTTCTCCCATCCCAAAATAATTTGAGATAGATGGTGTGAAATACTATCCAATTTCCCACCTGCATCATTACAATGAGTCGTTTTCTTGTTAACAAAAAGAATGAGTATTGATTTTCTCAAATGTAATGTTTTCGGGATATTCAGCAATCTTAGATCGAGTCCTTTGTCGTATAAAATGAAAGATTCGGCAGAGTGAAAATTGAAATGTCCGTAGATGTAATTTATTTTTTTTTTCAACTATAACATAATCGCTTCTCTTTCAGAAAATAGTTGTTTTTGATTTGTTAGTTTATTTTAACAAACACGGTTTTTCGGTTTTTTTAAAAGAAAAAAACATGGCTAAAGTGAGTAGTATTAAGACTTGCTGCAACTGCAAGGCAGTAGCCACTTTTGTTTGAAGATAGTGTGGGTTACATTTCGCAAATTGAGCCACAAAGTGAGCAACTAAATAAACTGTCTTGCTTAACTGAATTAATTTTCATCAAGAATATTACTTCTGCTCTACTTGGTACGAATTTATAAAGGATCATTGTTCAGCCAATTTTCATTATCCAGAATCTGTTGATCATCAAGCAAACAATACTTTCGGGCCTGGTCCATTTTGAATCCTCCTATCGTGGTGGGCTGAAACTTTGATGGAATCTGAACCCATATGACTTCTTTATATGGTGGGCTGAAGAAATTGAACTATTATTAGCATGATTCTGGTGTAAACTGAGCGCTTTTTTGTATGGTATTTCCATTTGAATCATGCAGTTTAATCCGCAACCACATCTTTGTCTTGCAAATTATTTTGTAAGCGCCTTACCGAGCATGCATGCTTTGATCAAACTGCACAATTTCTGTTTGTTTGGTTTTTTGGATAGTTTTTTCAGATTATTTTAATAATAATTGTCACATCTCAGCATATTTTTTTACATTCGTAATATACCTTTTTACATTCTAAATACAAAAAATACCTAAGAATACACACTAAAAACGAAACAAACATACCAAATTTCCCACTATAATTTTTTTGGACAAAATGATATGATTGTTCTATTAATGAGACAGGAGGAGACATGGTGGAAGGTAAAGTAAATGAGGATCTCAAGTTGAATTGTTTTTTGTATCATATATTCACATCGTGCATTGGAAGATAGGAACAATATACTCTTTCATACTCCCTTAATTTCAAAATAAAGAGAGTTATTTGTTAAATTAAAACGATAGTATTAATTAAAGTCTTCTTATTTTGAGACAGATAAAACACTATTTTAGAATAAGAAATAGGAAAAGGACTCCATTTTAGCTTCACTTTGACAAGTAGCTAGCATACTTTTGCCGTCCTTCTTCGGTTAACCTCAGTGTCTCTAGGAAAGCATATACAACTTCTGCCTTATGCTACCAATTAGCTTAACAGGCTACACAAAAGCATACATAGGAGGGTGGCATTGTAGCTTTGTTTTGTCAAATTTTACCGCTTGTCGCCTTCAGTTATCTCATGTCCTCGTGCTACAATTTGTTCAAAAATTAAGAAGATAATTAATGGCCATAGTACGTAAACCCTTATTACTAGTGTTATCATCTCAAATAATATGCATTCTGGTTCACAAATTTCCATTTCGCGAAATTGATATCAATCAGTGGTGAAGTACATCACTAATTAGCTGATGAAAAGGGGAGAAGACAGCAAGAAAAAGAAATTGCTCTCTTCTTGAAACGGTATAATAAACAGGAAAATTATTTTGTTTTGAGACGGATAGATTTGTTATTGGTCATTATCATTGACATTCGGGTGCCTTATGCCTAAACCTAGTTTAAAACTTTAACACTCAAAATTAGTCCTATATTCCAAGTGTTTGAATAAGAATCGATCAATCAATTGCGCACTTATTGAATAGGGAGAGGTAGTCGTTATTTCAGTGTCACTGTCAACGTTGTACGTAAGTCCATTGTAGAAAGTTCAGCTTTTGATCACTTGTTTTTCTACATTGTTTAGCTACCTAATTATGCTGACAATTCAATCTGTCACCAGTTGCTAATGATACCCTAAATGATTAATTATTGAATCAGCCTCCCAAGATCTCAATTTTTCTTTGCCCTCATGGACTAGCTTTTTAGCTTTCTTTTCTTTGGATAGAATCTTCATCATCTTCTTTATCTACTATTGGAGTAAATGATGTGGGCTATTTAGACATGGCTAAATGCAAATTTTAAAACTCAATGTGATTTTTTATTTTTTTATTTTTTGAAAAGGAAGTACATTTTTTAAAAAATACACACAAATTTGCAAAAATGATGTGAGTGATTTTAATTTGTCTACCTGTTTTTACATTAAAAAAAAAAAAAACCTTAAGAGTCGTTTGATTCACATCATTATTTGTAAATAATTTCTTACAAATTTTCTTTGTATATATTATCACTCTTCATGGTTAAAAAAAAAAAAAGATAAATGAATCAAGATGTGAGATTAAGTTCAATTTTCAAATAATAAAGTAACTATAAGTTACTCTTTTTGTCCAAATTTAGGAACTCTATTTGATGAGATGCAGTTCAATTCCATAAAATCATGTTCATTTGAAAGATTAGAATGTGTATAATTGACGGCTAAACTTTGGTGTGTTAAGATAAAAAATAAAAATAAAAAATTAAAAGAGTAAAATTAGGAACACAATGATGTCGAAGGTTCACATGCTTGTAAACTGAAGTGGGATCAATGATAACATTACCTTCTTGTTATAATTGTTTCAATATTATTTTAATACTTAATCAACCCAGCTGCAGTGTAGCAAATCTTCTTTATTTTTCACAACTTATATATATACACACACATTTTGATGCTCCGATACGTTATTAAAAAAGAGATCCCCCACATGATTTTATGTGATAATCATATTAGTGGTCAAGTTTTTCAACATTTTTGCTTTTACGTTAATTATCCCGACTTAGTGAGACTCCAAGGGTGTTTTACCTCGATCAAATTAGACCCCACAAACCATGCAATCAAATGTAGTTAATTAACATAATTTCTTTTGTTCATTGCCCTACTAATTCAAAATGTTTGTGTTATGCTACGGTATATGTTATGCTATAATTCAATCCTTGATTCTTGATTTTCAGACGTTTATTTCTTTTTCCAAAGTTGTCATTTAAATTATTCCCGATAGCAATCCAGAACTTTAAGGTAAATTCATATTATCATTCCATCTCATTTCATAATAGTTTTGGCTGTAAATATTCTTTTTCCTGTTATTTTTGTATCCTGTGAAAAAAAGTTTTTTTCTTTAAGAAGAAGAAGAAGAAGAAGAAGGTAGAAGTCATTTTAAAATAGAGAAGTGGCTTGAAGAAAGATAACTTAAAAAATGGTTTGATTAAGATATAATTAATTCATTAAGAAGATGATGATTAGAACACGTAATTAGGAATTGGAATTACTATTGGTAGTACATCTTTTTGGACCAAAAGCAACATCCGAACTACAGAGATTAGAAAGGGTAGAAAGAACAAGGAAAAAAAAATAGAAAGTGCCAAAAAGGGTTTAGGTTGGATAGATAATCACGTAGTTAACTTGTAAGTAGTTGACAATAATGCAAGATATTAACCTAATTTTTATACTGAAATACTTCTTCACAAATGGGATTAGCAGCCTCCTTTTTTTTTTTTTCTGGATTACATGTCTCTATCTACGGTTGTGTGCTTATGACTTTTTACTGCTGGGCAATGTATTTAATTAATTAACTCTTTTAAGTGTGATATAGTGTAAAACTATTATTCTCTCCCCGTTAATGATTGTTCAGTTTGTGATTACACTATTTTTTTTATTGTTTGATAGATTATCGAACATCGATATCTTTGTTACGTCACTCAAACTGATAAATAATTGACTGTAATCAAGACATTAGACAGTGAAAATGTGGTAATCAAAACAAAATTGGATTAATATAACTATAACTCTTATTTTAAGACGTGGAGACATTAGTTCAATAAATTAACCACTGAATCCAAGAAATACAAAGACAGAAAGAAAATAATGGTTGCCAGTTGCTAAAGATCACCCAACACCCGAATTGAGAAGATAAGCTCAAAAACATTGAATCCCACTTCTCTTTTATTTGTTTTTGTCTCCTTCCTCTTCTTTTGATAGACTGACTACTTACTTCAAACTATCTTACTTTTCTTTTTCATTGGGGTTCTTTCATTGTACAGAAATTTTTTGACCATCTGAAAATTATAAGGAAATGAAAAGGCTGAAAACTGTTTGAAAAGCACGCGTAAAATTCACATTTTTGTTTTCCCTTTTCTCGTGTTTTGTTCATCTTGTCACGGATGTCATTATAGAATTGTTAGTGATCGCTATCGAGTTTTAGATAACTTCTTACATTTTGATCCGGGATATTACAAACAAGATTGGTGCTGTGTGGAGAGCGATTGACGATAATCTTTGTTTTTTGTTTGTTTGTTTGTTTGTTTTTTTTTTTAATGAATCGATGGATGCATGAGTCTTATATACTTATTATATACGAAAATAATATGTATAGTAAAAAAAATTATGTACGATGTGTATCCTTTATTTTGTTTCACTTTATCGTTAAAATTTTATCTTTCTCCTCAAATATTCAAAGTTATAATTTTACCTTTAATTAGTAAGCACACATCAATCACTATGACTTTTCATTATATGTTTTTCTGTCTCCATCATTGTTGTATACTTTCATAACGTAATGTTGTAATGTAATCTCTTACGGTTAAAAATAATGTTTCTTTCGTCCCAAAAAATTTGTTTTGTTTATATAATTTTGTGAATT